GGGCACCCTTGTCCAGCGACTGCCAAACCAAAAGCATTTAGGCTTTGAACGAACCCTTTGCTTGAACCGAAATGTTTGAGTTTGGGGTCCTTGAAAAGCATATTTTTTTGTCCAAGTAGGGTCACAGGTCTTGAGTGGTTTTGAGTGGCGGTGTGAGACATTGGGCTTGCTCAGAACTGGACGGCTCCCTTCACTGTTGAGTTCTTTTGGTACGCCCTGCAGCATTTAAAAAGGACCATCTACAATGCTCCCAGCACTTTGCGCTTGGATGTTACGTTGGTCTAAGGGCAAAGCGAGGTGAGTGGTCCATTGCGGCGAGCCCACGAAATCGTGCAGCCTTCCAGCTTGTTGGCCTGGGGCAAGAGCTTTCAATTGCAAAGGCCTTGCAGGAAAAGCCTTCAACGCTAGTCAAAGTCAGCGCACCTTCAGCTTCACTTTGTGCGCTTGGTTGATCTGGTCCAAGGTTTCTGGACAAACCCGGTACACATAAAAGCTCGCTGTGGAGAGCCTTGAATTGCGATTTGATCAGATGCTGAACTTCAGAATGAGCGTGAAAGCTCAAAGGCGCCTCAGGGCCTGGCAGAACTCCCACAGAGGAAGGGCTTGTAGAAGACGCAGGTGCAGGCGGAGGTGTCACCGTGAAAGACCTTAAACGGCTACAGTTTGCGAACCCCATGATGATGGCAGCCAACGCAATTCAAGGGGCGGGCTTTCAAAATAGAATTGTGCACCATAAGGGCATTTGTGGCGTTGCAATACCCTACCCCGAAGGATGCTAGTAGCACTTTTGCAATTGGTGTTGCCAGAATCCAGATCAACCCAGATCAACCCCCCCCCCGTGTGGGCACTGGCAAACCTAATGCACAAAAAAGCAAACGTTTTTTGATAGGAGCCAGGGGTGAAAACAAACTCACAGGCAACGCTGTGCACCATGGTCGCACGAGCAACGCGCAAATCCAAGGCCTGCGCTTGGCCATCAATGGCAACTCCGGCAGGGCTTCCTGGAAGGCGGCGTCGTGGGCGGCCACCTCGCCCAACAGCCACCAGTTGTCCACCTGAAGTGAGTTTTGTAAGGAATGGGTTAGCATGGGCAGTGTGAAGCGTGCCTCAGCACAGTCTTCCGGTAGTTCACCAGACTTTCGACCATGCTTCCTTTTTCTGTTGCTGATGCTTGGCTGATCTTTGCATTCTGAAATCTCGACACTTTGCTCGTGCTTCGGCTTTGTCCCCTGCTGCGACTTGTTCTGCTGAGGTTGCGCTGAGCTTGTTTGAGGCTGTTTTTTTTGGTTCTGGTCTGTTTTGCAGCTCCTCCCGCGTCCTCTTCCTTTGCCCCTGCCCCTTCCCCTGCCGCGTTTGCTGCCCCGTGCTGCATCTTCCTCACTTGTCAACTCATCCTTCAGTACCCTGTCCTCATCCTCCCCCACCAAAGCGACAGGCACTTCTTCGCCTTCTAACTTTCTGCGCTTCAGCGCCTGCCTTACGCGTCTTTGCGCCTTGCAGTGTCCAGCCAAATGGGTAACTCTTAAGCCATACCCATATACACACCCCTGCCTGAACAATATCTTGCCGCTCATTGTCTGTTGCACTACTTTCTATGCTCTGCATTAGTTCCTTAGCACGCATCTCCAGCTGCGCGTCTTCTGTGGCCAAATTGGCCGTCAATGGCTTGCGATCCTGCCCGCATGCCAGCAAACAACACACGTTCGATAACAAAAGAATGAATCGCGAAACGTGGCCTTGTAGGCAAAGGTTCCACGGGCATCTTCGCTCATCACGTCCTGCAAGGGCGGCGACGCAAACATGTCCTCATGCCTGCTGCAATGGTCCTCCTGGCTGAGTGTTACCGCTGTCTTTTTGTCTTCCTGCTGCTGCTGCTGCTGCTGCTGCTGGCTGTGCCATGCCTGGCTAGGATGCGTTTTCTCCGTGCTTTCAGCTGCCTGGTCCTTGTGCATTCCTAGCGGTGTTTTTGGGCTGTTGAAACCCTCTTTCATTTGCAGTTTGTTGCCTTCTTGCACTTTCTCTTCGTGCTGCTTTTGCCTCCTGCCTATCTTATCCTCACCACTTAGCGCATCACGTCGCTCTTGCTGATTGACCTGCTTTGCATTAGCCGCTTCACCTGCGCTATCCTCCAAGCCTTTACTTAGGTCTCCCGCTTCCTGCTTCTCATCCTGTTCACCGTTTTCCTCCTCAGATGACTCAAAGTTCCCACACCATGTGCCCAGCTCACTGCGTGGCATGTCCCCTCTGGGGCGCTTTGCTTCTACCTCTTGTTCCTGCACGTGTTTCTGCATCTGCTGTTCCAGTCACCCGCCCGCCTTGCTTGCCCGCCTCGTCGGCAGGTTGATCATGGAGCTGCTCAGCAAACTCCGGCTGATCCTCCTTGCCGAGCAGAAGGCAAGGGTGGGGAAACCTCACGTGGGAATAAGTCACTTGTAACGTGCAAAGCAACATGCCCTGAGCAATCTGAAGCCTTCAGTAGCTAGAGACCAAGGTGTAAACCGCAGTCCTCAAACTCTCCTGCAACGCGGGCGCATGCCCCCCTTAACTTGAAGAAGTGCCCCTGACAAACCAATCCTTGGATTTGCTCATCTTCGCGTAGCGGCCCCGATCTGGGACCTTGGTCCCATTTTGTCGGAGTTTAGCATTGTCCTGGCCGCTGCGTGCAACAAGATGTGAAACAAGAATTTATGAAGGCAATTCAGATGTCCTCAAGCTTCTGCCGAATGATCGTTTTGATTTGCCGCATTCTCTCACACTTGGCTGATGGCGACCTGACCCAGGTAATAACGACAGGGCTAACCGCAGGAAATTTGACACTTGTGTAAAGCACCGGCCTCACCCCTCGATTTCGTTGGAAGCGCTTCATGCAGTATGAGGCACAGGCTCTGATGAGGTTGCCCTCTATGCTCGCCCACGCCTGGCCGGTTCATTCAACGGGGCAAGAAGGACACCCAACGCATGGATAGAAGTGCACCCCTGCCTCATGCTCGTGCCTGTGCTTGAACGAAGGCGTTAGGTGGTAGCCCATTGATAGAGTACACATGACAACCTGGTTTCGAGCAATCATGAGCCAATGTCTCACCATAAGATGCACTTGACGCACAATGATTGCCGCCTCTATCTCCAGCTTTTTGGGGAGCGGATCGTACTCACCAACAAAAGTGGCCAGGTACGCTGCCACCAGCTCGAAGTTTGCATCTGATGTCACCTGCCAGCTTGATACTTGGCTTTGTTGGATCACTTGACCAACTATGGTGCTTTTTGTTTGGCTCACCCCGAATCAAAACCAGCACTGTTCAACCATGACCGACTCCTCAAATACACATCAAGTGCTCTGTACTGACCTCTCAGTTGCCCACTAAACCAGAAACCATGCAATCAGCCTAAGCCCATCCAAACCCACTGCGTGTGCCAAGTCCGTTCAACCCCCCCCACCAAACCAAACCCACCTGTTGCAAAAGGAGGTGGACATTGGGAGGGCCTAGGGGATTGCCACAAAACTGTCAAACCGTTTTGGTGGCACATTTCTCGTGGAGCCCAGACACAACAAAGAAGATGGGCCCGTTTCGAACCCCAAGCCAGCAAAACACTGAGCCAAAACAAGCCCAAAGCAGGCAAGGCATTAAACAAGAGCCGGCCTCCCGTTCGCTGATCTGGTGCGAGTGGATATCCAAAAACGAGAATTTGCAGACCTGGAAATCTGAGTATGACATCGGTAACAGAATGACTGCACAGGGCTCGATCAAGAGTGAGTTCAATCCCAGGAACCCTTGGATCCTTCTTTGAAAGACCATTTTGCTCTCGAATTTGTTGACGCCGCTTGGCAACGTAGCTTTCTTCATCCAGAATTTCACGGAAGAACTCCTGAGTAGGATGCACTGCCCCAGGCATGGCCCTGTGCACGGTCACATGAGCCCCGCCGATCCTTCAGGAGAACCATCACCTCTGGGCGGCATCGCGGGTGAGCTGGCATTGCGGAAAAACGGACGCGGAAAGCGGAAATGGCCCCCCCTCTTGATGAAGGTCTAAATCGGTAGTTTGCTTTATCAAACTACATGTGCACGTCCACTGTTACTGTACTGTATCAAGCCCTCACCTTGTCCAACCAAAAACGGCTGCGCGCGTCGCCAAAACGTGCTAGCATGCAGTGGCAAAGCGGCTCTCTCGCTTTCTCTCTTTCGCTCTCTCAACCGATCGAACTTCAACCAAATAGCAAGCATAAGCAAGGGGCGGGGGGCACCTTGGTACCAGAAAGTGCGCTGCATAAGCAAGCGCTGAGCCGCAGCTTTCATGGCGACCAGCCATGTGAATGCAGGCTTAGCAAAAGGTCAAGTTGTTTTGATTTGTGGCTCATCCCGGCCAATCGCTATGGCATTTCTAAAGCTGAACAATTAACAAAAGTAGTTGGCAATTCTGTGCGTAGGCTGGGTGAAGCTTCAGAGTTGCTGAAGAATTCTTTGTTGGAACTTGATTTGTTTGTCCACTCTTCATGCACTTATCCATATCGTTTCAAAAGCTGATGGATACGGCCATTCTGCAGGCTACAAAGCTTCAATTCATATGTTTGTGACTCATGGCTCATCCCTTGACCTAGGGTCATGCCATGTCAAAAGCTCAGCAATTTGCATGTGTATATATATATCTATTACCCGTCTCGCTCGCCTCATATAAGAGGCCTTGATGCAAAACCACGCAGGCAAGGCCACGCTGAAGAAAATCGAAGCGCATGCACAAGTCGGGCTCGCGCACCTCACGGCAAACAATTATGGGGCCCCAAAGTGGATGCAAAAAATGTCCTTTGCAAAGCAAAAAATGTCCGTTGTCCCAAGGACATTTATTTAATGGCCGAGGAAGTCTAGGGTATACAATGAGGGCAGCAATACACGACACAAAAACAAGTGGTTTTAGGAACTCTTTCAATTGTGCATTTGTTTTGGAGGGATCCATTTCTTTCCAGATCCACTCTTCATGCAAAACCCTGGCGCCGTCTTCGACGACAGGTACTCAGACTTGGAGGCAATTCTTCACGACCCCAGGAAGCCTTGGTCCCGTACTGGCACGCCGCGGGCAGAGAGTTTGTGCCTCACTTGCTTGCCCAAAGCGAATCCGCCAATTTCAGTTGCCACAAGCTTTTGGCATACATGTTCTCCCTTGTCCAAAGCGAATCGGCATGTTGATCTTCCGGTTTCCTTTTTTTAGCCACATTTTTGTGAAGGTCCCAACACGTGATCACCTTCGTCCCTAAAAGGGCAACTGAGAATTGCAGTGGACGAAATCCTGCAGTTGGTGGTTTATCAACCAGCCTTGACTTGAGGGTTCAGTGAAGCTTGTAGCCATTTGAGCTGTGCTTTGGCTTGGAGGTCACGGTTTGTCTTGGTCCCAGTTGTTCAGCCCCCTGCTTTGCTTTTTGTTTGATTCCCCACAAATGGTCCGCTTCCGCACAAGGAGTCCCTTCTTCGGCCACTGATTGGGTTGCTACTGCTTGATTGTCTCCTTGTGCGGTCAAAGCTATCGAATGATTCAACCTGTTCTACAGCAGTCGGATGGTCCAACCCGAACCTGGCATTGTTCGGCGGCCAAGATGGGAGGTTTGGGCAAAACTCGAATGTGCTGTCGCAAGTTGATGTCTCCTTTTGGGGGGAAGCCCCCAAAAGGGGTGGTTTCCCTTTGGTTACCCTGGAAAAGCCAACCCACACAGCCTCCAAAAGCAGACGAGCCGCGCATACGCCAGATTGGTATGGCCCTGTGGCTCCTCCTTTGCATCCTGTGCCCCCAGAAGCTTGCCGTTGAGTCGCACTCCAGGCAATCCGATCCCCGGCCATCGACGGATTTTCCACATGGCTGTGTTTTGTTGCTGGCAAGGCCCATTCGACCTTACAAATGTTTGAAGGGTCGCGGCTTGCTGCGATGTTGAGGCCATCCCTGGATTCATAGAATCACCCCACATCAAGGCCTCACCGCCCAGGTACGCGGTCTATGCGACCCCTGCCAACATCATGGTGTCTCCTGAAACTTTCTACAAGCAGGCAGGGCAGTGGCTTTGATGCCCGCGGCCGAAATGACGGATCTTAAGATGAGAAGAAGTGATCTCTGCTTGGATGATGGGTGGTCCGCTTGCAACCATGTAACCTTTTCGTAGAATCGATGTTTCTCTCGTCAACGCGAGATTTATCAAGCCCCTTGTTGATGAATGCAGGGGTGTCCCATTCAAAATGGACATCCTTCATTTTGGAGCAGTCTCAGCTGACTTGTATGAATCTGCCAAATTTATGAATCCGGGGTCGTGCGGAGCATTTGAAGCCGCATACCAATAAGGCTCCCTTGAACACAGCCCCCAAGTCTCATTTGTCAGAAGATGTACTGTTGTACCTTTTAGAGTTGGACACACCCATGTCGGACCTCCAGTTGCTACTGTTGAAGATATGGGCGGGTTCCTTTGGCATGTTTCGGCCAAGGCTCGCTAACACTGAGGGCGGAAAGTTCGTGTTTGGCGAGCGAGCGAGTGCGGCAAACTTGCCATTGTGATGCCGAAGTGGGGATTTCCATATAGGGGCTTTGTCACTGGGGTTCTTCTTGGTGTCATGGCCGATGGCCACTTTTTAGTCAGTCGCCGCTACAATGGCACTATGGCTCGTCATGAGACAAACACCCACCCAATAGCAAGGATTGTGTCTCCTCCATGGAAAACGAAAGCTTGTCTTGGACACCTCCAACTGTGCACGGGCCCGTTCCTGACAATACCTTGTCACTTGAAGGGTCCCAGTAGATTTTCCTGTAGGCATCTTAATCGACTCAGTTGCCCAAAGCCAAGCTTTGGACCTTTTGGTTTTCCGGTGTTGGTCCCAAATTTAATGTCCAGATCCCGGGGCAAGTCAGCTTATTTACGCGCTCCGCGCGCCGGCCTCGCATGTCCGCCGCGCGGGCTGGATGGAGGGACGTGATGGATGGCGGATAAGAGGGAGAGGGAGGGAGGGAGGGAGGGAGGGAGGGAGGGAGGGAGGGATGGATGGATGGATGGATGGAAGGGATGCGGTGGCCGGGTGGATGGGTAGATGGATGAGTGAGTCCGTGGGATGCAACGATGCATGGGATGGAGGGATGGATGGGATGGCGCACACGCACGCCCACACACACACACACACCACACAGCCACCTACCCAACAACGCACACACACACACACCCATCCACACCCACCCACCCACACCCACCCGCCCACCCAACACGCCCCCACCCACCCCCGCGCACGCGCGCACCCGCACCCGCACGCCCGCGCGCCGCCCCAACAGCCCCGCGCCCCCCACGCGCGCGCGCAGGCACGCGCGCGTGCGCGCGCGCTTCCCCCGCGCACGCCCGCCCGCCCGCCCCGCCCGCCCGCCCGCCGCGCGCACGCACGCACGCACGCACGCACACGCGCATGCACGCACGCACGCACGCACGCACGCGCGCGCCATCAGGAATGGCTTGGAAAGAATGGCCCCAATTGCGGGCGATGCAGGGCATGCAGGCGATGTACGAAACACCGAAAGCGTTGGCGATGTTGGCAACGCAGCCGGGTTGCTGCATAGTTGCAATGTTTTGAGCCTTCCCTCAACTCGAGCTCCAGTGGCCGCGCGGGTGGTGATGATGCACCAAAGGCGCTGGGAATGCAGACGATACCAGGGGTCGGCGGCAGTGACCGTCTCTCGGAAGGCAAAGCCTAGGCATGCGCCCCTTTGGGCGGCATTGCACAGCGAGGCCGGATTTAATGGCCTGCGGCCTGTTTCCGCCGCCCCCACACACCTTAGAATTTTGGCCCGGGGCGAGAGAGAGCACACGTGAACAGACCCGTTCGCACGAAGACAGATGCAGCGTAGACAGACACAGAGACAGAGACAGTCACGCAAGCGGGGGGAGGGTCTTCGCGGACACGAAGGCAGACGCAGATTTGCCCGGAACGAGAGAAAGCACGCGTGCACAGACCCGTCTGCGGGCACGAAGACAGACGCAGATACGCAGACAGACACAGACAGACGCAGATACGTAGACAGACACAGACAGACACAAAGAGACACAGACAGACACGCAGGGCGCGGACACGAAGACAGACGCAGAGATGTAGACAGACACAGAACGGGGGGGAAGGGGGGAGGGGGGGGTGGGAAAGAAAACCGGAGATCCAGATATCCAGACATCCAGACATCCAGAGATCCAGAGATTCAGAGATGCAGAGATCCAGACATCCAGACATCCAGAAATCCAGAAATCCAGCCGACGCATTTTCCCGCCCCAGGCAATAATAGATAGATATATATATATATATATATACACATAGTTATATTCACATTAAACTTAGAGAAAACATATCAACAAAAGCAACACAGAACACACCGCCCCCATGCCGAAAGCATGGTCCATTCTGGACCAGGCATGGGGTCGGTGGATTTTCAGGTCCGGGTGAAGTGAGTTCCCATTCCTGAAAATCGTCACCTTTGCGTCTCGAGGTCCAAGACCAAATCGAGAAAATCCCGGTGCCAAAGGATAGCCCGCACTACTCCCACTACAGGCTGGAGCTGGGTGTGGGGTTGCATCTCGGGGGAATGGGTTTGAGTCAAAGGAGTTTGTCACTGTTTCCCTCTAAAACCATAAAAAGGCAACCTCTCAAAAAAAGACATCCAAGTATCTTACCAACAAAGGGACGTCTGGAGAATCTCTAGCATTTGGCTCCTATCATGAGTTGATTCACGTGCATGCTTTTCCGGCGCTTCCTGTGCACGCCATACCAACCAACAAGGGTGTAGCTTATGGACCGATTTCCCGAAATGCTTGAGGTCCTTTCGCTCACTGAAAACTAGCGCAAGAGATACCCTCAAAGCAAGGATACACTCAGATCCAGCTTCGGCATACAGATGTATTATACGCGTATGTGTCGCAATTGGAACCCGGGAATACATTACGGTTTCCTAGTGTTTTGAGGTGAAAAGCTCACCCTCGGAAAGGCACAGCCTAGTATCAATATGTTGCGAGCAGCGCCCAAGACTCAAGGAGTTCAATTTTATTCAAGTGAAGCTGTGCGACCGGGTCGATCAAAGCCAAGGTCAGTGCTGCATTTGTTCTGTTGTCATGGAACATGTTAAAGGCGCCAGGCGTTATGAACCAGATACAATTCGGCTATTCAAGATTCAAGCATTGCCTTTCTGGCTGATCAAAGGAAACCATCATTTTTTTTCATGAGGGGGGGAGGGGTAATAATTTCAGAGCCCTGCCAGTGTCGCCAGGCGATACTACCTGCAGCAATACCAGCAGCACCTCACGCAGTATCGCGAGATGGAAGAAGACTGGAAGCTGAACAGAGGCTTCTCGGCTTGCTTTTGCAAGCAGGGGAAGCCAGTATATGGTATCACATTATATAGCCACCAGTGTAGAGAACCGCAGGCATCCATATTTCAAGAGACAATTATGGTCCCTATAGCGGCAACTGTGGAAACGGTGGCCACGGTTCCATGTTTTGCCATATTTCATGGAGCCAGGGAAAGAACCCCTTAAAGAGGATCCCTGGCAAACTGGAAACCCGATTTTTGGAAAGATCAGCATTTGGTACCCGTGTTAGGGTCCGTTAAGTAGTGGGTTGGTGCCCTTTTCATAATTTTGGACATCCCCGAGTTGCATGCCTTGCACTCGACATGGGCCTTGCATGTGAGAACACCGTTCGGCAACCCAAATGAGAAAAGAGTGCCGGCCAGCGGACATGGTAATCCCACGAATATCGCCGAGGTCATTGTCAACCAAAACCGTGGTCCAACTGCATCGGATCCTTCGGAATGCCGCCCCTCTCCTAGCCTCACATTCCAACAAGTTGTCCACGCCACAAACGTCAGCTGAGGTCTCCTCCAAAACTATGTTACATTTTAGGGTAGACCAACTATGAAGCAGAAAACATACTTATCGCTAATTGTTTTCGTATATTTCAGCGGGCCAAAGGGGTCAGAGGACTCGTGGCCAAAGCGTAGTTTCTATGCTACTTCAGTTTGAGGGTGTCTTTAAGGGGACCCCCTTGTTTGTTGTTTTGAAAGGAGCCCGAGAAATTGAAAAACAAGCACCATTTGGGTGTTCAGAGTGTCAACCAGCCCAGGACCCAGGCTGCACAGTGGAGCGCTGCTTCAGGCGCATGGGAGTCGAGTCTTCCCTTTGAATTGAATATGTCGTAATTGTCCCCTCCTGGTTTCAAAGGGAATCGATCTCACGGGAGAATTTGGCTCTCGTTGCTTCCAGGCCAAAAAGCCAAGAAGAAAAAGGATGTACCCTTGCGGATCAAGATTCAGTATCTCATGGGTCTCCTTCTTTGCAAGGTTGCGAGAAGCGTGCGAGCCCTTGTAGGGCGTTCCCTAGCCCTCAGGCCTTGGCTTCCAAACCGAGGATATGGTTTCCATGCAAGTCTCTTAGTCTGTTTAAAGGATTTCCTTTAAGTTTCATCGTGTGTTGTTTTTTCAATCGGCCAGGGCCTGGGTCTCGGCACCTGGTTCTTTGTGGCGGTCCTGGCCCTCTGCGAGTGGAAGCGCGGAACCGAGAACACGCTTTGGGTTTGGGGCTTAAAATGGAACCCAAAGGGAAAGCTTCTGGGCCTTCCTATTTTCAATCCAAATGGCCTACATGATTCGGTTTATGCATGGGCCTAAATTCAGATAAAAAGAAAAGCTCAGGTGACATCCCCAAGAGCATGCATCCCCAGAACTCGGAACCGCCCCATGCATCCCCGATCCATCCTCGGCCTCACTGTACGCATCCGTGGAGCCCTCAAAAATCAACAGAAACCAAGACATTCTGCCCCGTGTGTTGCAACGTTGCCTCTGTGGATGGAAAAGCAACGTTCCTCTTTTGCAAAGGACGACTGCCTTGCGCCCAGTATTCAATTCTTATGGGAACCTTCGCGGGCACCGGCTTCAGAGATGGGCCGTTTCCCTGGCACGCAAGCCAGACTGTTGAGTAACACGCAAGCTTCCTCTCCAGAACAGCGAGAAGGTCAGTAGTGCTTCGTGCGAGCTTGAGCAATCTGAAAGACGCTCACAAGCCATTGCCACTCCACTGCCTTGCCTGCGCGTCGCATGGTCAGTTTGCGCGTCGCATGGTCGTGGTCGCTGGGGCGACCGGTCGTTTGAAGCCGCGGCCGTCCAGCTGGAGTACTACCATCAACAACCGTCCCTCGTTGCTGACCTGTTCGCGCACCAACCGGGAACTTGCTTGGGCAACCAGTCCAGCCTGGTGACCCGGTTTTGGCAAACCAGTTCTGTTCGGTTGGCGGTCGCCGGGCCGCTTGCTGGCGCGCCGGTTTTGCTTAGGTACCGTTTGAACTTGAAAGAGCCCCCTGCATCCCCTGCAACCTTGCTCAGAACCGCCCCAGCAGCTGCTCTGATTGCCGGACCTCCTCGCAACCGCCGCCATGTCATTTGCGGAACTCTTTTGGAACCTTATCTGAAAGCCGCCCCGGACCACCCCCGAGCCCATTTGGGCAAAGAAGTAGCTTGCAGCTGTTGGAGTAAGAAGCAAAGTGAGCGCAGGAACGAGGTTGGTTCCCACTTCTGTGATCGTGACTCTCCCCGTTGAAGGAACATCTCTCATGTTGAAGGCCTTTCATGAGTATCACAGAAGTGGGCAACGTAACAGCAAGTCAGGGGGCATTATGTTGACCGTTTCCCTTCAACCTACCACTTGGGGTGGCTTTGATACTTGGTAAAGCATTGGGGCCAGTAATTGCTACTGTGTCTAATGTGTCTATTTCTTTGCCCCTTATACTAGGCGCGGTCAAGGTTTCAACCCCATTTCGGGGATGCGCCCCAACCACAAGTTGTACGCTATAGACTGGAGTCATCAACCTGCACCTGCAGTTGCATACCGGGTACACGCGTATGTAAGACAGTGTGGCTAGATCAAGAATAGGGAACCGCCTCAAACGTGCTTGGTGCGCTTGAATCCTGACCTAAATGCCTAAATGGTGTCCGCCAGAGGGTCCACTAAAATCAACCATGTAATGACTCCGGTGAGGGCATCCACTTATAACAAGCGCATTGGCATTCACTGCGCTTGACTCCGGGCACTGCGGCAGTTTACACCTTCGTGCCATTGGTCATAGCGCGTATTCCCAAGGCTATAGTTTTGCGTGCCCGTGTTGCGTTTCCTTGAAACCCACAGAAAAGGGGTACCCTCACAAAAGGGCGGAGGTTGGAAAAGGATGTGTCGTTCTTTTGATTGCTCCCTTGGAAAGACCAAAGGGCAGGGGGGAACCATACTTTCTGCCACACATTTGGGGGAAGCCTCCCATTTGCGAGTGTGTCAAAGGAAAATTTAGCCGTCTAAAATGTGTTTCATGTTGGTTCCTTAAACTCAACAAAAAGTACCGGAAAAAAAAGAAGTTCATTTTTGTTCCTTAAAATCAAAACCCCCCAACAAAAGGGTACCGAAAAAAAGCGGACCACTTGGTTCGAGCCGGTTCAGGTATACCACCGTCACGACTTGGATCAACTCCGTGGAGGACGGTCCATTTGGCCGGTGGAACTTGGTGAGTTGGAATCTCAAAAGGCTTGGACCCTGAATCCCAAAATGATGTCCATGATTTTTCCGGCCCCCGAATTTCAACTCATGCCCATTTTTTGGTGCAGTGGCTCAACATGGATTTCTTTCGGACCCCCTTTCGGTAACGAGCTTTCCTAGTTCGAGAAACACCCAAATGCGCCAATTCAAGCTGAGCTTCCTGTTGGAGTGACGTGTAGGGACATACAGTATGACATACAGGGAGCCCTGATGGGGCAATTGAGACATTCTACCTGATTTCATAGGTCTTGCGTTGCCATGGGTGCATGGCGAGATGTACCGCTTTGTGAACTTAAGGTACGGAAGCCCCCCCAAAAAAAATGTTTCCTGTCGGTTTCCCCTCAAAAACAAACCGAAGGCTCACTTGTCCCTTTCCCGCCCTTTCAACCTTTTGGTTGTCCCGTGGCAACCACTAGTGGTCACAAAAGGTGATCGCCTTTTATTTCTGGGCAACTGAGGTTGAGAAAAAGTGATTTCTGCTGGGATGTGGCTGCTTCTCTTGCCACAGAAAACATGTTTGGTAAAACCAGACAGTCTCCCTTGCAACCCAGGAAGAATCAAGCCCATTTTCGGTGAACCTAGGAGCACTGGGCAGCCTGGCGGAGGCACGCGTTTCGGCGTCGTTTGCGTCTTGGGTTTTGCGTCTTCGGGGCCCGATATGCGAAAGCCGCCGCTGGGGTGGTGCTGTTGGGGGGGAGGGGGGGTTGGGGGTGCTAGGGGTGAGTAGTTGATTTCCCAAAGGGGGAACCCTTTTCGATGAGTGCTGTAAAGATGTTTTGTTGAGGTGGAGAAACGCCAATGGACAGGACAAGTTCCAGTTTCTTGTCGCCAATTCCCCACGCATGCGCAATGCAGTGTCAGTCTTTTTCTGTTCGAGGTCGCGAAATGAAGCAGGCCGGGTGCACAGATTTCGTGGATTTTCGTGCATGGAATTTGGGGTTTCCCCCAGATTGTCCCAATTTCGCGAGTCAGCTGGGGTAACTTCCGGGTCGAGCCCCGGGAATCCTCGAAAACCAGAGACACTGTCCGTCGACCCTCATGTTTGAGGCTGCTTTTTTGGTTGAGGTTCTCCTGTTTAACCTTGGCTTTCACGGGAAAACCAGGGAAAACAGAGCCTCCATTCGGGGAGCCCGACTCCCTCCAAATGGCCACATGTTGGGCTGTGACGGCCTTTTCCCGACAGGGCAAGGCAAGAAGAAGAGGAGCCGAGCTCGTGGAAACGGAGGGCGCGTGAGATTTGCGGCTGAAGATAGCTTAAGATGGTTCAAAGTCAAAAGGGAGACTAAGGGGACACCCCATTTTCCGGGCCAAGTTTCAGATAAACCCATTTGAAGATGTTTCAGTGGGGAGGCTGATGACCTGAAACCTGAAGTGAAAGCCATGACTTGCTGTGGACAAAACATTGCGATCGGGGAGTCACGTGGAAGACGGTCGCATGCTTGTTTTGCTCTCTTGAAGCATCCTTTCTTGAAGCTTAGTTTGGATTTGATTCTTAGTATTTTTGTTCCCCCGTTCGTGTCCCTAGGATCCCAAGGCCAAACAATAGTTTCAGGGCCAACGGGACCCATTATGTGGGGACAGCAACATGTGGCATCCATGTTCAGTCATGGATCCCTGCGCGGGCCTGCAAATTATACGCATTTGTGTGTGTGTGTGTCACCCCTGGAAAATGGCTGTGGGTCAAAACCAATGGGATCCCATTTTGGGGTAGGTGCACTACCCATTTTAGAAATTATTTTAGTGGGCATTGGGATGTTCACTGGGGGTACGCTTTGGGTTTTGACCCCAAATGGATGCCATTTTCCAGTGCAATCTATGCTTTGTCGAACGCGTCGATGGCAGGAAGAAGGCGGAGGAGCCGAAGGAGAAGGCGGATGTGGGCTTTCGGTTGTCCAACTCAGTGTATGTCCATGTCCCTGTTTGTTTCGAGTGACTGGTAATTCCTTGTTTGCGCCTGTTTTTTTTTGTTTTTGTTCAACCAAACACAAATGCAACATGAAAAACGACACACACACACACACACAAGCACACTAGAAATGAGGTGAACTGTTTTTCCCTTGGCCCTCTGGCCAGGCCAAGCCCAAAGAGCTGAAGTCCAAGGCGTCGAGCTGCGGCTATCGGTGAACCATTCTGTGTGTTGTTCTGGTGAAAAACAAAACGGGAATCGATTCTGGAGATGAGTGGGTGTTGTTTGTTCTCTTTTGTTTTCTCTTTTTTTCTCTTTGTTGAATCGCTTTTCCAGGGAAGAGAACAGGGAATGAAGTAAACCGACCAGTTGTCCTTCGAGATTTTGAAGGGTGAAATCTTTGGTTACCTGCCACTACTATGCAGGGGAATGAAATCGCAACCAGGGAACCATCAGTAGAACCTCGAGGCAACCCTGGTTGCCTCATCATTAGTGGTAACGGGCAGTGGAAAAGCACCAGCCAGCCGCGGCGAGCTTCAAGCCACGAGCATCTAGCCCTGTGGGTTTGCATTCGGTTCCTAAGAAGCCAAACGGGGAAGATACGCCTCGAAACCATCCAGCCTCCCGAAGTAGAGGATTGAATATACATGGGAAACCACGAACCACAACCACAACCCCAAACCGCCAAGCAAAGAGCTTGTCCAGCTTTCTCCCCACAAAAGACAGTTCCAGACCTTTTGACCTTTGGGATTTCCTTTGCTCCACCAATCACCGAACAAAAGACAGTTAGAGGTGAGAATCCACCAAGCAGAAGTAAGGAACCACTTGAAAAGAAGTGCCTGCACCGCGCCAGGAAGCAGAGAAGCGCAAGCCGAAGCGTAAGGCGAGAGACATGGAGCTTGCCATGAGCTGCAAACATGTACCCAGTACATACCCCAGATGTGCCATACATATATTTGTTGTACGCAAATGTATCTATATGCAATTATATATATATACATACGCATTTGCAACTTAAGATCATCCAAGAGCACTGGTTTCTTGGAGTCGAACGCATTGAGAGCCATCTGCTTGTTGAGTGACTGTGACTGCAGGCAGAGGATGCCACAGTTCCCAGGACAGAGAGAGAGCGAGAGAGTGGAGCGAGCGATTCTTGGGATGCCCCGTTCCTCTGAAGGCTGCGGTGAGAGTCAACTGATTAACATGGAAACTCAAAATGGCAGAGAGGAATCTCAAATTCTGGGCCTTCTTCTTGGGTTCCATGTGAGTTTGCAGGTGACCGAAAAAACTGGGCTTCCTTTGCTCTTGGCGCTCCACTGGAGTGGGAACTCACTGCACTTGGCTGCCTCGTGCTTGCAGGCAGACCTGCGACAGTGCGCAGGCGCCTGGACATCTGTTTTCTGGTCGATTGTTTGCGCTGTGATTGGCATTAAATTTGATTTCGGACCCTTTGGTGGACATCATTTCGCTTGGGATTCACGTCTATCCACCTGTTTTGAAGTGGCTCCCTACTTTTTGTTTTTGGCGGTGTTCAACATCGGTCTTTTGGAATTTGGACCAACTTGAGCTGATTGCTTTTGGTCGGGAGTTGCTTGGGGAAATATGGGGGAATTGCCATTGGCTGACTGACGCATTTTGTCCAGATTGAAATTGAAATGGGGTGATGCTTATGGGGGGATGTTGAACTGGGTTTAGGCAAATCATGGCAGCCTCGACGATGACCAGGTTTCCGTTGCAGAGGTCCAATCTGTTGATTGGTAAACCGTATCAATTTACCCAGCCCGTTGAAGCAGCTTGCTTGGCTGCCTCCCAACAATGATAGTTGTTTCCTTCTGCAGGTTCTGAAGCCCGGACTCGTCCTTGACAGCAGTCTTGCTCCGCATAGAACATCAGTTTGGTTTACTTTGGTTTTCCTTTGCCATCCGATGCCGATCGGGCTTTGCCCTGAAAAGGGCTTCGTTGCTTCAGCATGTCCCCTTTGCTTTTTACCCAAAGTTGGTCAACCCCACGGCTCCCTTTTCCGACCACAGGGCCGTGCGGTTCACTTGGCGGTGAATGCATGTCAGGGCTCAAGCCGCTCGCTTTGGAGCTGGTTCGCCAGGGCGGGGCAACTTAGACTGGCTAGGGCCTGGGGTTGTCAGCATTTTGACCCAATAGTGGTGATACTGTGGGTGGTTGCGAAATCCTTCTTGGGCACCACCTAACAACCCTTCGAAGGGTGATTCCCACCGTAAGTACCAACAAGTAATGGTTTCCCACGGATTCAAAGTGGTGCAGGATTTTGTCCATCCACAGTAGGAGCAACATGTGAGTTACTGATTTGTCAGCTCATATTACGAAAGCTGCTGGTTATGCGCTACATGCATAAATCCCCATGATAAATGTCGTGCATCAAAAGGGCCTCATAGGCTGCTTTTGTCGGAGTTCTGTTCTGTGTGATCCATTTGGAAGAGCCAGCAGTGGCTAAAATGATGTTTGAGTCGTCCAGTACTCAAATGAGACCGAAACAAAGATCATTGTGCGATGGGAAAGAACATATACCCTACGGGAGCGCAAGTATTTGATGTTCTTGCGCATTAGTTCAACCTTCTTATGTCTACCTTACTTGACGCACGCCTCCCTATTTCCACCTGGTTTCGGTCTTATTTGGGCACACAGATTCAGCGTTACACCTAGTTCCCCCCTCCCCCGTTCCCCCTCTACTTTCCAATGTCTTCGGATGCAGGATGTAGCCCTCTAGCATCGTACTTGTATTTACAGCACTATTGGTGGGGTCCGCTTTAGACTCCGAACATGGCTCGGGTCATTCAAAGGGGTGTTAGTTGTCATATGCCCATACACGCCGTGGGTTTGCTCAGGAGAGAGATGACGTCTCAACGCACAAAGAGGTGGGGAACTGGGCAGGAGGCCCTCGCAAAAGTTGACTGGACATGAAGGTCATGTCGGTCATATCGGTCAAGGGTTGAAGGCAAGGAATTCAGAGACTCAGACTACAAGAAATCTTCTGCAATTTGCAGTCGATTAAGCATGCCTCATAGAGTTCCAGGAGGAAGTTAGCATGTGAAAAAATCAACGTGAGCACCCTCATAGTTGTTCTTTTTCCCCGCTGTTTGGCTCTACCAGGGCCTGCCTCATTTAAGAACCGTTGCAGGCTGTTGAGCCGGACGAAGCCAAAGAAGGCGGGGTTGCGCAAGGCAGAAATGGGCGTTTCGGGTTGAAGGCACCGGGTTGCGGCGCGGTTGAAAGGGAAACTAAAGGATTGTCAGTTGAAGAATCCCTTTGTGGGCATTTTGCAATGACATTCCTTAGGGTGTGGTCAAAGGGTACATACAATGCTGATGTTCATGGTTGTTATTTGCTGGTTAGCCGATGGACTGATTCTTGGGGGTCGCATTTTAGAGTCGATGGCTGCTTGTGGCTGGCTCTTGGCTCAGTTGGGGTAGCTGGAAACTCTTGACACTGCCGTCAGGGCATGAGCCAGAGGCTCCCAAGGCGAGCCGCGAGTTGTCAGATGGCGGTGGTGGTCAAAATTCCGTTTTGGCATCCCATTTTGGGGGAGGTGAATTCACCACCCATGTTGGAACCTATTTTAGTGTTGGATTGGGATGTTCACTGGGGGTACGATTTGGGTTTTGAAAAGCCCATGGCCACATCACTTTTGCACTGTCTGCCAGGCTACGCTCCAGACGATTCCGTTTGATGCCTTCGGACCCCTGTAGAAAGACGGCTTTCCTCTTGGAAAGGGGCCAAATGTGCACTGCCATGTTGGTGGAAGTGTAAGTTGCCATGGTAACCGTTCCGACATAGCCCACTTATGAGTCACCCAATTGGGGTTGACCTTGTTAGGGGGAAAAAAAACCGAGTGGCTGACCACTTGCTGACTTGGCCAAACACATCCACGTACTGTTCACGGTTGTGTATGTGGCATGGTCAATCGGATTGCGCGGTAGGGATGGCCATCAGCCTTTAGCATCCTGTTCTGGTGGAAGTCGCTTGGAAGGGAACCACATCCTTTTGCCCCGCAAAAGGAGCGCTGACCATGGCACATGTGTGCATATATGTGTATATATATGGCAGCGAATTTTTTTGAGGGGTCTGTAACAGAGCCGCGGCGGACATTCGTTACAGACCTCGTTACAGACCTGTGTAACAAAACCAGCTGGCTCGTTACACACCCCTCGTTACACACCCCTCGTTACACACCCTCGTTACACGCCCTCGTTACACACCTCAGATGAACAAGCCGGGCCAGTGACTTGACTGCCCTGTTTTTGCCGCAGCTTGGCTTGCGCTGAATAGCTGCAATCAAGCTGGAGCTGCGGAGGCGCTTTGCGTACCGTGCTTTGCTTTGCCTCGTTACAGACCTCGTTACATAGCCGTTACATACCTCGTTGCAGACCCAACCCCAGTCCGGGCCCGCTTTTTGCCGCCGCTTGGCTTGCGTTGAATAGAGCTGCGGAGGTGTGCTTTGCGTGCTGCGCTTTGCTTTGCCTCGTTATATCAGACCTCGTTACATAGCCGTTACATACCTCGTTACAGACCCAACCCCAACCCGGGCCAGCGACCCCCCTTTTTTCCGCAGCTTGGCTTGCGTTGAGAAGCTGCAAGCAAGCTGGTGCTGTGGAGGCGCGCTTTGCGTACTGCGCTTCGCTTTGCCTCGTTACAGGCCTCGTTACATAGCCGTTACATACCTTGTTACAGACCCAACCCCCAGCCGGGGCCAGGGACCCTGCTTTTTGCCGCAGCTTGGCTTGCGTTGAGTAGCTGCAATCAAGCTGGAGCTGCGGAGGCGCGCTTTGCGTCCTGCGCCTGGCTTTGCCTCGTTACAGACCTCGTTACATAGCCATCACATACCTCGTTCTGCTGCGCTACATTGTGCTGCTGATACTGCTTGTCAGGAAATGTTTGTGCCGTTACAGACCTGCGTAACAAGGACCTCCGTTACAGACCTCCGTAACAGGATTTGTGGCGCGTCGCGCGTTACAGACCCCTAAAAAAATTCATAGCCATATATGTGAATATATGGTGTGTATATCTATACATATACAATTCAGGCTGAGATCTGGCCCTTGCAGTAGGTAGCATCGTTTAGCCTTGGTTTAGCATTAGTATTGGTGTGGCGTATCCTTCTTGGTGCTCTGGGGTCATATTTAGAATTGGCGTGTAGCACTGGTTTATTCTTTTTTGCAGAACTGACTAGAATCGGTTTGTATTCTGTAGTATTGCTTCCGTCGTATGTCTTGGAATTGCCCAAGAAGTTCCTCGTGGCCATATAATCGAATAGCAGGGGCTTGACTGTACTCCCGGCTCGTTTGAAGAAGGAATAGAGAAAAGCGTTTGCGGTTGGGGGCCCTGCAGCATCATTCCCACTTTTCTGAGTGGGTGCCCTTTAGACAAGTCAATTTAGTGTTAAGGGCTCAGCTGTGCTCCCCCCTTGCACAATTGTTGACCAGGCTCTGTTCAACCACGCTTAGATAAAATTCGCAATTTGTGCTCAGGGTTTCGGGTTTTGAAGTAGTAGAAGAGACTGATGATGCAAGGTCCAGGTGGGGGGAAAGGCATATATATATATATACATATATTTCCATGCGTGAAAGAAAACTGTTCCGTATTGACTACCCTTTTGTCTCTGTTTGAGGAACGAATATTTGTCGCAAAGCTGTTCTGTGTTTGGTACCCTTTGATCAATCGGGTATGAATTGTTTGTTGACGGAGGATTTCTTGAGCAGTTCATGCTGTTGCCAAGAGCGCCCCAACAGCGGAAAGGCCCGAAAAGGGCTAGGTCTTACTAGGCCCAGCAAGAGGCTGATACGCTTTTTAGGGGGGTGGCCCCATTTGTCTCCAAAATAATTTCCGCTTGCCCAAGGCGAGTTGAGTTGAACTTGTGAGTTGCTCAACCTTGAAATGCAAGTCTTCTTTTCTCCCCCCCCGAAAAAAGAAACGAAAGACAAAACGTGCCAAAGCCTTCCTGAGGCCAGAGCTGCCAAGGCCGGAGCCCCAGTTTTGGCAACCAGTAGTCACGTTGTCTGTCCTTTGGGCAAAGGAGTCTTTCAACCACGTGCAAACCAAGCTGTACATCTAACTAGCAGACCGCAGAAATAGTTGCAAGAAGTCAGTTGCACCGTCCCAGCTTGGATAGCGGACGATAGTTGCTCCTTGGTCTGAGTTCAAGGTGTTAAGTGCTGGCCACTTTGCACTCGCAACCTCATTGGAGAGTCATGTCTGACCAAGGTGACGGTGCAAACTATCACACCTCAATCTGTTCTGCTTGCTTCTTGTTTCCGCCGCTGGCCTTTCTTCAGCCGCTCGAGGAAGGACGGCTTCACATTTCAGAGGCATTCGGATCCTTTCTTCCTGCAGAAAGGTTCGATCCAAGCAGAAGAAGATTTAAAGAACGTTCCTGGCCGCCTTTCCTAAAGTGTTGGTTGGCTTTGCTTTAAATTCACCTTACAGGTACCCTCAACAAAAACACACACACACACACACACACGCACAAACACAAACACACACACACACACACACACACACACACACACACACATGTGGCTTTGGGGGTGCCCTGCGCGTGGATCAGGCAGAGGAGGAGCCAGCAGTAGAGCCTGAACCCGTATGCGAGAATCCGGTGCAGGCGTTGCGGCAACAGGGAATCGGTCTTTTGCAGTGAACATGTGGAGGGGTTCTCCAGACTACTCTACATTGGCACAGAAGAAGTTCTCATGAGATAACGTGGGGACCCCTGCAGGTGTACCCTGATCTTCCCCACAACATAGTCAATATATTGTAAAATATAGCCACTACTGCCAAAAGTAGCCACAATATAGCCGAACTGTTCGTGCCCCTTTCAACCATCATTTAGAGGGTAATTCGCAGATGTCAAGACCAATGGACCCAGAAAGAGTTCAGAGCTGTTCGCAAGGGAAGCCATGAGAGGTGTTTTTTTCTTCTTTTGGTCCTTCATGTCAATTTAGCCCGTGTTTGTCCCGATGTTCCAACTGCGGGCTGTTTGTTTGATTCTCTGCTGAGGGGAGGGTGTTGGATCGTTTGAAAAGGCCGAGAGTTGCCCACTTTGGTGGAGACCTTGTAAATTTATAGACATTTGTTCGTCTATAGATGTGTCGATGTGTTGCTCCTTTTTGTGGTACGCAACAAATTGTGTGCACGGCTTTCGGCAGCAAATTCAGAGTTCCTTTTGGGGAAGTCAACCACAACTGGGCTTAAGTCTACCTTGGAGTGATCAGAGAAGACAAGATGGTGCTTGTCCTTTCACCACTTTGCCACACGTGTCCAAGTGCGGGCAGCTTCCTTTCCTTGGGCTGCAAAGGGGCTAGTCGGCCCGGGTTCACATGTTCACACTGCAATGTCCGACAAAGGTTTCAGGGCTCCCCCATTTTTTCAGGGTTCACCCGCAAAAGAATACATCTCAAACCCCTTCACTTCTTCTCGAAGATCGTGTATTCCGTCCACGGGATCTTCTCACACTTCTCCCTGTGCCCGCGCCTGGCGGATCTATCGACCCACTTTCCTCCTCCAACGGACTAACCGATGGTCCTTTTCATCTCTTCATAGCCCTTGCGCTCAAAATTCCTGCGCTCCGGCGCACATGAACGCTCACCTCCTTGCCACCCGGAAAAGCGGCACCTCCATCACTCATCTTGCGGTCCCTTGGCGGCCTTTGCCAGGATCTCCAGCATCAGCACCGCGCTCGCCTCAAGGTCTTGAAAGAAAGGCGTGTCGCGTGAAGTCCAGCGTGCTCTCTGATGCAGACGCCACCATCCGCCCCGGAATCATCTCTTCTCCGTGAATCCTTGGCCGAGCCCGCCGTGCCAGTAGCCCCCGATCCCGAAGCCATAGGCGCCATTCCTGAAGACCGTGTAGGCGGGAGCCCAATCCACCACTTCCACTTCCAGGTGCTCCACGTCAGAGCCAGCAGAACTCTCCGGTTCCGTGACAGCACCCTTGAAGTTTGATAACCCCCAGCTTGTCGTCCTTTCCCAATGATCCACGCGCCAGTTCTCAACCAGCCGCTCCCACTCCACATTGTTCTCCTCGTCCGGCGCGATCTCCGATACCCGCCAGCCGTCCAAGTCTTCAAGCCGTACTCCCTAAGGAAGGTCTCGCGGACGAGGAATGTAGTCCCAGTAGCGCGGCAGCATGTGGTTGCGAGCCAGCCGCATCTCCCCATCCAGGAAAGTAACCTGTCATTCACCAACCTGTGCAGCCTTTCGCAACTGCAGACCCACTTCCGGCTTCAAACTTTCGGCTGACGTCCTTGATGAACGCCGGCTTTCTCCACCACAAACGTCACCGAAGGAGCGCAACACTCCTTCCTTCCAATGGGCCGATCGCCCACACCTTGATCTAGTCCAAAGGCCTGCCCGAAACCCGAACCATTGACCCCCCCAATTCTCACGAAATTTGGGCGATACTATGGAACCGGGAATTGGCACACGCGTGCCACAAGGGAATCGGTTTCATCGTTCCCCAATCACATTGAGTGCGCAGGGTTGCACTTGGCCATGGACACCTTCTCCAGCACCTGCGCCTGCTTGATGTAGTTCTTGTGCCCATCGGACCAGGATCCTCACCTCGCCACTGAAGTCGCGCTCAACGACCTCGGCCTCGGCCTCCGACTCCTCTCAACGTGTCGGTCACCGTGATCCTCCCGCACGTACCCTTCGGCAACTGCACGTACCCCGCCCGTCCTCAGGGTATAGATTACCGCGAAGCAAAAAGGACATCCCAGCCACTGCTTCTGTGGCACATCGCAGAGCCTCTGGAGCCGAAGCCCCTCCTCTTTTCGCAAGCGCTGCAACGTACGAATCACCACAGCCGTGACCACGAGCCACCAGTATCCGTTTCATGTTCGAAGTCCTTCGCCTCCGTCAGCTCCACGCACATACAGCCCACCAGCAGCAGCCCAATTTTTAACTGGGCTTTCACCCACCGACGCCGTCCAGCCCTCAATGAGTGCAGCCAATTCGCTCTCCGCCGTGCTGAGCGCGCTGCAGACTTGTCTCGATAGGGCATCCAGAGCAATTAATGCACCGCCAAGCCGGAAACTTGTGCTCGTGGGCCTAGGAGAAAGCATCCGCGAAGGCCTCTGCCGCCGTTCCCGATGCTGCTGATGATCGGGTCCATGATCACCTTCACCAAGGCGTTGGTACCGCCTTCCCGTGCCGTCTTCCGCAGGTTACTGCATCACCTTCTCTCCGATCTCCCCTCTCGGTGCCCCTTCCTCCTCCAGAACCCCCACTCCTGCCAGGGTGCCACCCTTCGTGATGTGGTGGCGATCCACGAGGTCTGCCGTGTAGGACCATCCCAATCCCATGAACATCATGCAAAACTAGAACCCGCAAAACCTCAAATCCTCTGTCTCCGTCAACCACTCAAGATCGCTGGTGTCCCAGACCGCCCGAATCTTCCGCAGCGTCGCCGCCACCGCCAAAGTAGACCGCCGTGTAACCGACGATCTCATCTCGTCCATGCCACTGGCTCTTGATCCTCCACAGGCTGGCCTCCTTCTCGAACCAGCAAGCGCACACGATTCGCCCAATCCTTGGGTGACGTAGTCAATCCGTAAACGGATCCCTCCACCGCCCAAAGCTCTCCCGGCAAAGTGACCTGCATGGTACTCCTGGAAGATGGTTGGCGGGTTCATAACCACACTGTCCTTGGATCGGCCAGTACATTCAAGTCCTCAGCCTTCTGCATCGCTGCCAGCCACGCACCAACCCGGACATCAGCATTTCCACAATCTTCTCCACCATAACCATCCCCTCCTCCCCGCCATCGGCTGGCGCTCCATCATCTCCAGCATGTTTCTCCGCCGCCATCGAGGTCCGTCGTATCGAAGAAGTTTGAAGTACCCTCCGAAGATGCCGACATCGTCACGTCTGGACCCGCCTCTCTGCTTCCCAATCCTTGGTCCCGAAGACCAGTGCGGGCAGTTTCTTTTCCTTGAGCTGCAAATGGGCTAATCGGCCCGTTGCAATGTCCGACAAAGGTTTCAGGCCAAGCAATGCCAATGCCAGTGTATGAACCTTAACCTATTTAACCTGTTTGCCAATGCTCAAATGTGCGCGGGCGTACCAGCCAGTTTGCCCCTGGCCCAGGAGCAGGCTGAAGAGGACGGGCAGGAGCAGGAGGAAGATGATCAAGAGGAGGAGGAAGAGGAGGAGGAGGAGAAAGAAGAGGAGGATGGGAAGGAGGTGCGCAAATCAGACTGAGAGAGAATGCTTGTCCAGGCGTTGTGCAGCTGCCATTATGCTATTTGCGCGTTGAAGAGTAGTGCCTCCGAGGAAGCAAACACTTCGGATTTACCTGGAGCACCAAGTGAGAGGATTCCCCCGCTAAGACCATGCAAGACTAAAAAGGGAGGCCGTCACCGCTGATCAGGTGGGAATGAGGGGCAACCCACTTGTGTGACCCTTCACGTGGAGGAATAGTCATCAAGGCCTTGCATTGGTGGTGTCGCAGTGGATTGCCAGACTTAGCTTACCATTTTTACAGTTTGGTTTTTTGTCCATCGTGCAAACTGCAAACAGTTTGCAGGGAGTCTACGTCAGGTGAAGAGTGGCCCATTCCCGCTGATTGGTACTGTCCAGGAGCAAGCGGAAGACCAGCAGGCTCTGATGCACCTGGCACATCTCGGCTAACATCCTAGCCCCCAAACCATTCTCACAAGGGGAAACATGTATACAACCAAAAGACACACAGGGTATATACTCAATTTTCTTTTGGGGGTGGTTTGGACAAATGGTTTCACTAATTGCCCTCAAACCACTACCCTCGGGGGTATGTAATGCCGATGGGCAGTGCCAGCGAAGTCAAATGGGTGTCTCGAAATGAGAAGTGGGAACTGGACAATGTCCGCCAGAATCAGAAGTCATACCGACATGAGTTTCTTTTCAATTATCAGACAATGGTGAATCTGGGAGGGTTTTGGGGGGACTCGCTCAAAAAATCTCAAACCCAGAGACTCTGGAATTACTTAGATAAATAGGAACAAGTCGCCATGTCAAACGGCCAATAGCCTCAGCATCCGGACTGTGAAACGAGATCCATTCTTGGGGGGTATCCTCCGACCCGGGAAAGGAGCCTCCCCCCCCTCCTTTTTTTTTTCTGGTAGGACAAACAAATTCTTCTGAAATCAAGGGTCGTTCGCGATCCGTTCCTGCAGGCTTCGGACAGCGAGAAGGGCGCCCATGCCGAGGCGCGTCAACACGCGGAACTTCGCAGGTTTTCCCTTTGGGGGTGTCTTGTTTTTGACGGTGCCCGTTTTGGGGGTTGGTTTTAAGGGAAACCATCAGGAAACACCGCCCATGTTGTGGGTTCCCCTATTTTGAGACAAACCCTTTTAGGCGTTTTTACCCGAGCATTTCGCAAGCCGTTGGCAATAGAAATCAGTGGGTGATTGCTGTTGATCCTTGTCCCCGAGTTGTTCAGAGAAATTACCCAAAGCAGAGCAACGTTTCGGTTCCACCAATTGGGTGCGCCTTTCATTTACGGGGCCTTTACGCTAATGATAGCTGGATTGGGAACACATTTGCATCTGACACGTGGAAAGATTCTCCAGACTTTTCCTGAGCGAGCCAAACCCAAGATGTGGGTGTGGGTCAAAGTAGGGTACTCCAAAAAGTTTGGGGGGTCCTGTTGGCTTCCAGAATGGCCTGGATATCCCTGAATCCGAAGAGCTTCTTTTGTGAGCCTACAACTCTCCTCGGACTTCCGAACAGGGGCTTCCCGAGGCAAGTCTGGATGTTTCTTTAAAATAGATGACCCCCTAAAAGCATGTTCTCTGGTTTGCTTTTTGCTTGTCTCCCTCGAAACCACGAGCCAAAAGTGGGGTGCAACACGGCAGAGTGTTGTGCCCTTCTTCTACGTTCAAACCGAGAGGTCGTTCGGCGTTTTGCGCCAGGCAGAAGAGAAGCACGAGCAGCGTCCCCAATCTCGTTGTTCGAGACACATGGGTATGTATCAAAGGGATTTGGACCCAAAACTGGCGGTTTCCCATTCGGCTTTCCATATGAATGTACAACTATATATATATATATATATATTATATACAAATATGTGCGTTTGGCAAAGTTGTCCAGCAGCTTCTGGTTTATTTGGGAGGGACATAGGCTAAGAATCCCACGAAACCAGGGAGTTCACTAATTGTCCCATGTCCTTTTGGAGCAACAAGTAATTTGACCATATGTGACCAAGTGGGCATCCGCAACAATGTGATGGGCTGCCGATTCGCTAAGACACGCCCTTTGAAGAAACTCCAATTCTGTGAAAAGAAAAAGACACATACGTCCTTTTGAGTGTTTCAAGCATTTTGGGGGGCCTTTTTGCATGTGCTGCTTGGTGAATCTATGGGACCTGTAGGGAACCCTGAAAAATCCACATCCATTGCCTTGGCATTCGAAACGCATCCGAGGTCGGATGACGGCAGGCCGAGCGAGCGAGCATCCGGTCGGAACCCGGACTCGTTGGCTCTCATGGCGCCGCAGAAAACTGTAGCCAAGGATGATGCTGACGCAGGGTGCAAAACCGGTGAATAAAATGTGTGTAGGGCTTGTGGTCCTATTGTTTTGTTGGTAAGTGGGTGTCCAGGCTGTTTGGAACATTTGTAGGGGGCGGCCCAAATGACAGAGTTCCCTAGCTTCAAGTTATATCAAGCTACAGCATGTTGTGGTGATGCTCGAAATCAGGAAGCCATTTTGCAGGGAGTTCTCCGTGTAGTCACTCTCATTTTGTAGACTCCTTCGCCAATCCCCATGCTATGAATTGGCTGTTCCAAACCCACCCCCAAAGTGTACAGCGGGATGTTTGGGGTATAGCATGGTCATGAAAGCATCAGGCTTTGCCCCTGAGTAGCAGGCCGTTCCTAGGTCCTGGTGTGTTTTATACCTGTCCTCGGGTCTGTTCCTTTCTACTGCAAAGAGCAGAAACTTTTGTCGCTGTCACGCCAATTTGGGACTCTTTGTCGCTGGACCTGTTTGGCTGACATTCCACTCAGGTAACCTCAGTCCCTGAGTTCCTGGACTATTCGGGACTTCATTTTTTTAGGAAGACCTTTTTGGCGGCAAAGTAACAGTTTGGACTTTGTTTGGCCAATCCACTCGGGAAGTGAGTAACCCTTAGTTGGTGGTTGGATTGGTGGTTTGGTGCTTGTAGAGGGTAATGGGGAAACCGTCCCCGAATTTCCAAAGCCGCCTATTCCTGGAGTGAAGCTGACCTGCATTTTTCTCAAGCAAACCCGACCCATTTTGTTTGCCTTACAAGTGAAGCAACATTTACTCATTTACTCTACAAAAGCCAAGGCCTCAAATTCTCCAGCCACCAATCCAAGTCATCGATGATGAGCCTGAAGTGAAGGATTCCGCGAAGTCCGCGAAGTCCTCGAAATCGCCCTTGCCAGTTGGCAGATGGTGACCAAGGGCAGGTTGAAGGCCGCAAGCTTCCCAGGTCTCGACACGCGTCCGTTTCGAGCCAGGGTTGCGGGTGGCGTTTGGGTCCATGAAAGTGACATGGGTCTGTCGAGGGATCTCGAGGGTACCCCTTTTGTTTGGGTTTCAAGGAAAACCAACACCAAACACACCCACATGGTTAATAATTTCACGTGTTGTTGTTTGTGTGTGTGTTTGTGTGTGTGTGTGTTGTTTTTAAGGGGGGGTACTGTTACTTTCGGGTTGTGCAACACCACCATTGTCATAAGCTTAGTCCACAGCTCCGGTGCATTTGTCTCACCTACAAGGGTCCACTGAATTGCTCCTTGAGTACTCATGCTAGTTGGCTTCCGACAAAGTCGCATACGTCGGGTTCCCTTTCTGATTATCCTCCCCTTTAATTATTTTGGGTACAAACCATGGTGTGCAAAGAAATCATGATCCATTTTACAGTTTTTAGTTTGTTTGTTTTTTTTTCTGAGAATAGGCCCGGGTGAAAAAAAACACCAAACAGGGGGCGAACTGTCGAGAAAGGACGAACAAAAATGATCCACGCTCGAAATCCGGATAGTAAGGGACATTCCCAACAATAGCTCGGTGCTTGAAATCTTCGAATGGGTAGACGCAATTGAAAGGTCTTGATTACGCCTCTTTAGGGCAAGAGGCACTCTTGCCGGGGAGACTGAAAAAGTGAGCCTTGTCCAGGAACCATTTTATAGACGGGCCTCAAAAGGGGCCCTCGAGCTGAAACAAGATTGTTCAGAACAACCACTAGGTCCCCAGTGCCCTTTTACCCTTTTTGGTTGGGAGGGTTCCCCTAAAATAGACAACAGAAAAAAGAAACGGTACCAACTTATTCGAACCTCTCAAATCTGGAGGACCTAGACCAGAAGCCGACAAACACGACCGAAACAGACATCGCCTTCTCGATCTCTGAGGCTCCCAGCGCCCAGAAACCGCCGGAGCCGGTGCCTGCAGAACCCGATGAACCCATCGTCCAGGTGCTCCTCTGGACACCGCCCGACGCCGCGAGTTTTCCCGGTTTGCCCTTGTTGCTTTGTTGGAAGGGGCAAGCCTCGGGAGAAAAAAAAACACGAATGTACTACGACAAGCTGTTGGGAGCATATAGCGCCATGAAACCTCCATTTGCACGAAAGAGGCCAGTTTTCTGCCCAACGGCCACCGAAGGCTTGGAAATCTATCCAGGTAAAAGCTTCGGTCAAGGCTTATGAGGCCAAAATTGGGGTTGTGCCATCTACTTTTGCCCAACTCAAAAGAGCGATTTGAGGTTCTGGGACACCCTGTGAAGTTGCGGGATTCCCCGGGTGTCCCTGAAAAAGTGGTTACACCTGCTCTGCCCCTTGATGTTTGAGGCATTTCCTGAAGAGAAGGACCCCTCAAAAAGACTTGAAAAGGAGGGTATGGTTGGTTGCTTGAGCACCGACGTTTCATTGCAGGTGCCAAAGCACCCGGAGACGCTGAGCACACAAGAGCTGGTTGCACGAGCCTGAGAATGAGCCATCAATTCCTGGGTTGGAGGAAATTAGTAGAATACACGGAGCCCTGCTGTTTTTTGCCAAGAAGTAACTCGTCGTATTTTTTTGTCGGAGCCAACACATGCTTTTCACACCAAGCCCCAATCAGATCCAGAAGCGGCAGGAATTCTTGTGCCGGTTTTTACACGTGATGGGTTTCCGGTGTGCGTGAGTCCTTGAGATGTTTGGATGAGGACCTTCTGCAGACCAGCAGTGTGCGACGACAGCTCCTCAGGCTCGCATGGTTTTGAGGCGGCGAACCAAACCAAGCCCACAGGAACTCCTCTCTCAAGTGTTTGTCTTTGGGTATGTCGCGTTGTGTATCTCAAAATGGTTTTCGGACGAAACCCGGCCGCCGTTTTACGTAGGAAATAAACGGATTCCGATTTTTGAGCAGCAGGTTCACCTCGGGGCCAGACTTCCCGGAACCTCCGAGATCCAGACTCGGCAGGCGTGGAGTTCCCATCAGGGAACAGCTTCTTCACTGGTTCCGGGAGCTGCAGGCGCGTCAAGCGGGTGCTGTCTGCCACTGGATGTTAAGGATAGTCTCGATCAATGGGTGCTGAGTTGATTCACATGGTCATTTTTAAGGCATGTTTGTTGATTGTGACTCGGTTGGAGTTGGGGTGGGGGTTGGGGTTGGGGTTGGGGTTGGGGTTGGGGTTGGGGTTGGGGTTGGGGTTGGGGTTGGGGTTGGGGTTGGGGTTGGGGTTGGGGTTGGGGTTCGTGAGGTGTCGTCCGATGGAGCGGATTGGTTGAGGTGTGAGGTCGAGCGGTTTGCCAGGAACCTCCATCGAAGCTGATGCCTGTTCAGCAGCCCGCATCCGCAAGGGCCTCGGGACATGGGGTAGGTGCAGCAATGAGGGGGGCCATGTGGCCTTGCAAAAAGACGCGCCCACGTAAGCTAATTCACGCGCGCAAGCGCGGCATACTTGCGCAAGCTGCGCGTTAGCGACTCGTACTGAACAGTTGCAACTTTTGAGGCGAGCGTACTCGAAACCCAATGCTTTGCATTTTGTATCACAGTGCTGGGCCATGTTGGAGGTTTACAAAGTGTACTTCGCGGACACGTAAGCTATCGCTGTTCCAATCGCTGTGGTGGCGCGCAAAAGTGTTCCCAAGCTCGGCTTGCGTAAGCCTCCAGCTGATTGTGTGCGCGCGTAGTTGTCGGGGAGGAATCTACCGGTATTTTTAGCATTGCTGCTTCAGGACGCAGGAATTGGGGATCAGGGCAACCAAAGGGAGGTTGTTGAAGCATTTGCCCAGGCGTGCCAAAAGGAGGTTGTGACCAAAAGGAGGCTGTCGAAGCACTGAATTCAAGGAGGCTGTCGTTGCACAGACCCTGTCTTTATTGCAAGTCAAGAGGAGTTTGTTCAATCCATTTTCCAGCGAAGCCAAAACCAGTTTCCGCAGACATCATGATTCCAAGGAAACCCAAAAGAGGTTGCTTAAACATGTTGATCATCAGGATATTGTTCAATCATCCCATTCCCGGGGAGACCAACAATAGAAGCGGTGCTTTAATTTCCTTTGTCCAGAGCCAAAACGCGGTTACAGTTGTTTAAAAAACAGCCCTTTTCCAGGGAGGCCGGAGAGGGGTTGTCTCAACACCCTTCCCTCCATAGCCCAAAGGAGCTTGTCTAAAGCCTCTGGAACCCCCACTTTGGAGTGTTGTCCGAGATGTGGTTCGACGTGATGAGCTCTTTCGACCACGAGAATCTGTGCGCATGGGTGTTTTCCTTTCTAAGAGAGCCCTACGAAAGGGTCAACACAAGTCTGGCATCACAACTGCGTGTTCCTCGATACCCCAGGCCTTTGATAAACGGCAAGGAGCTTGGGTCCGGGAGGGCGGGGGGTTGAAATATGGTCAAACCACGATTTTTGAGCCACATGCCTTTTGGTTCCTTCAAAGGGTTTGGTTATTTGCTTTGGGTGTACCACCCAGCTTGCGGGTTCGACCCCCTTCACCAACCAGAGGTAGATGGTCTGAAAAGCAATGCGGCAGGCTGCCTCAAAGGCACAGCGACCGGGACCTGCGGGCGCAGGCAAAAGGGTATTGCGAGTGGAACGTGGCACGTGATGTTGGGTATGGGTCAAAATTAAACAACACCAGGGGACCGCAGGTTAAATCGTCCATGTTTCCATTTACCAGGGCAAGCCCATTGTGGGTACCTATTTTTGACCCACAGCCATTGTGGGAGGTGCTTTCGCTGGTGCAGTTGTTCTTACCAATATTGGAGGGAGAAGAAACGGAGGAGTCCGTGAGGCTGTTTGTCATTTGATATCGTCCAATGTCGTTTTTCCTGATTGCGCAAAAGGGGGGGCAAACCGGCGGACAAACCGTGCTCCCAAAATGGGGTCCTCTTTCATACGGTGTTGGGTTGCCACTTTGTGTGAATGGCCAAGGACATCAATTCCCTTCAAAGCAAGAAGGCAGGGATGGAAATCCAATGGTGACCAAAATATCCTGTTGACCGTTCGTCATTCAGTTGTCTCAGCCAACTTGTCTCATGCCTCGCCCGCTACTCTTCGCAGGGATCAAATACGTCGCCAACGGGTATCGCGTGGAAGCCTGCCATTGAGGGGCAGCTCACAGACATCATGTAAGACCTAGTGCTTAAGTTTAGTAAGCCTGGTGGTCCACTTCTCACGACCTGAGCTCCTGGACTCTAAAAAAAATTAAGGAAGGCCATTTTAGTGGTGACCAAGCAGAAAAGTGTGGGCTCTTGGCCAATCCGCCGAGGAAGCGAGAGAAATAGTGTGGATGGTTGCAAAATCCATTTCGCACCACTTTGAATCCATGGGACATCATTATTTGTTGGTATATGCGAGGGGGGAATCCTTCCAGGGTTTCTTGGGTGATTAAGAGGGTACAGAAGTCAAGAGGTCACGGGTTGCTCCCAAGCAGCCGGCCAGGCCCAAGGCCAGACAGGCCCAAGGCCCGGAGCAGGGTGAGGTCACCAGCGCAGATGAGTCTGGGGGGTTCTTTTGATGGCACCCTTGGGCTGGGAGAACAACAAGAAACCAAAAGGAACAACCAACAACCCTTTTGGGGGTCACTTTGGACATGTCACACTTATCGGGCCATTCTTTCCAACCATCGTTCTTTTCAAAATACAAATCGCTGTTTTCCGTGGGTTTCCGGAGGTTTGCCAGAAAGATCCGGATCCCTGGAAAGAATGAGGAAGGTACCCCTAGAAACATGGAGCCCAACAGGGGGGTCCCCAGAAGGAGTTTCGCTCTATGCGAAGGATGGCATTTTTTTTGCTCCCTGTTAATCTGCAGAGTATTTCTCAACAAAATAGTTTTGAAGGTCCCCGCATCGTGTTACACACGGGAAATGGATTCTTATCGTATACCGGTTAGTAAGCTTGCTACACCAACTGCTACGCCACCTGCCGACACGTTGCCCAGAGGTTTAGTGCAAGTGCAATACAACTAATCTTGTGCGCAGGGTCCACTGTTCTCACCTGCAGGCACGCAAAATTGGTGCCAAAAGAGGGTCTTCATTTGGTACACCAGCCCTTGTGCTTTTTGTCCTACGGGCATCCATGTCCCCCCGGTTGATCCGTTCAGGTGGGCCGCGGTCTATTGGTTTACCGTCATTCAGGGGAACGACATTGGGCAGAGAGTCAAAAAATCGCCAAAGTGGCCATTTCACAATGGATGACCATGGCTCCCTGACCAGTTCAGTGGCATCCTTTGGCTTCGCGAAATTGGTGAAAGCAAGGGCTCACTTGTTCCTTTTCGGGCCACTGAACTGGCTTTGGTTGAGGTTCCCCTTACAGTTAGGTTTCAACCAAACGAACACCAGTTCGGAATGTTCGGGGCGGTCCAATCCATCAACGCATCCATTTGGAGGCGACGCCTGCGCCGTGGTCAAAGCTGGAGCGGAAAGGGATGGAGGCCAGACAGGGGTCACGAGCTGTCCTTCCATTTGCTTCAAATCATTGAATATGTGTATGTCATCCTGTTGGTGTTAAAGGGGATTCACTAGAACTATGTTGTTGTTTTTTTTTGCCAGGCCTCAAGCAAATGGAAGTTTCTCTGGGCACAGAAACATCATTCCCTTTGGTTTGATGGGGAGAACCCCTTGGTCGTGATGTTGGGAAATAGGGAAACCCGGGAAGCCATTTCGGGGGGTTCCCGAACTCGTCCGCACCAGCAAGTGGACTCTAAGGATCACCAGCGCAAAGAGCATGCAGCAGTTTTCATGTTTCAAGCGTTCCCGGGATGTTAGCACCCAAAGCCTCGTGATCTTGGGCCTTGCTCGGTTGCTTGTGATCCTGGCCACTTGGTTTCCGAAACGGACACCTCGCAAGAATCAAGAACACACACACACACACACCTATATGGAGAGCCATTAAAGCTCCCGCAAAAACACGACCCTCACGTCCCCTCCTTCGCTGGACAGGTGAAGGTGCCTTTGCGCGCAGAGGCACGATGCATTGGCCCAAATGAAAACAAGGGGTGCCCCGATGCTGGGACAGACGGGGCGCTTGAAGGGGCAGGATACTTAGCAAGTGGTCAACAGCCACGGTTACAACCTATGTAGGACATGGTGACGAGACACTTAAGAAGTACCTTGCCCCTTGGGTATACGGATTTGCAGTGTGGTATTGATACAGGTATCCCTGTCTTGCTTGAGGTTCTTGTTGGCCGGGCTTGGATGACCCAAAAGAAACCAACTACCCAATTCGCGGTCTTCCATTTGGAGATACACCGAATCCTCCATGTGTCCTTTCGGTTTGCTTGGCCATCCAAGCACGGTTCCACCCAAAAACCTCCAAAAATGTCATATGTATATATATATATATACAAACCCCAAAAGACACGATGTTTTTTTTTCTCCTGGAAACACGAGGTTTTCAGATTGAGGTTTTGAGTCTCTTTTCTGAAATGAAGATTGTTTGCTGCCCTGTTGGTTTAACGGGAATCGTTCACGACTAAATTTATATTTGCTCCCGGGGACTTAAGCAAATGGAGGCTTATTTTGAGACAGGCGTCGACTTCAGTCTTGTTCTCGCCAGGCACCCGAGTTCTTCCCCAATGACATGTCCCACATGCCAGCCAACACTGTCTTGGTGCCTTGCGTGTGCTGTCCTTAGCTTGTGTCAAAGGAGGGCTTGTGTCAACTCAACGTCGAGATTTGGACCAGCAAATGGAGGTTGTCCCTTTGGCGCCCCCTTTCATAAACCAATCTGAAAAGGGTACCCTCCAAAATACACACCCATAGGGGGCCGAGAAGAGTCCTCACTCATTCAGCACAACCCTTCCTTACTGCATGCGTTTGTCCCTGCTCAGGTTGCAGCCGGTACTGCTGGCGCATTTTGAGGGAGGGACTTGGCAAGTAATCAGCAATCATGATTCATGATGATAGCCCGCTTATGCGACTTACAACCCGGTTGCTTGCCATTTGCTGCCTCTCTCAGAGGGAAGTGGCAAAGCCCTGGCCACTCGTACGCCAGGGACAGGACGAGTCCTTGGTAGTGCCAGCTGGTCATGTGTTGGTGCTGGGGGCAATGGGCAAGGAGCTCAGAGAGCGATTGCAGGCAATGCAGGAAGTAGCTCAAACCTTTGGTCAACTTCTGGATAATTTTCTGGAGTTTATGACTTTCCGGTTGAGTTGTCACACTTTGTACTCTTTGTCAGGGGTCCGTACATCTCCCTTTGTGGAAGCATCAAACATTGCAGTGTCGTTGAGAAGGATCTTCCCGAAGCTGGCGCATTTCGATGGGAGATGTAGCGACCACTGTGGGCAGGTTTCGTAAGGACCCTGTAGGACCTGTTGCCAGCCTCAGCGAGGCAATGAGCCGAGATGAAAGCCTGCTTGAAGGGGGAAGGTTCTTTTTAGGTTGTCAATGTCCTACGTTGCTTGCAACAATGGTTACCATCCACTCAAATACCCTGCCCCAACAAAGGGGTCAAGGGCCGTTGTCATCTCCAGAGTTTGGTGTGCCCCATTGGCCCCACTCCAAAGCAGTCTAATTCTTTTCGGGGGCGGGATTCCTCAATTTGAGACACACCACCAGCTGGTTCCCCGAGGAGCTCACGGTTGTGTCGATTTGTGTCGATCTGTTTGCCGCTCATTTGCAAGGTCTGCCCGAAGGTATTCCCTTGATGGTGCCCACGAGTGCTGCTGGCATGATTCTCCATCCGGCCACATTCATTTGTGGTTTTGAAGGCTTGGTACTCTTTGGAGCTTGGTTGAAAGAGAACCGCAAGGAAAGCCGCATTTCATTTTGGAGGTCCCCTACTTTGACGCATACCATATACGTCAGAGTCAACTCATGAAGGGTCATCTCCCCCAAAGCCGAAAAAGCAGGGCCCCCCTGAAAGGGGCCGGGAAGGCTTCCATTGACCGGTTGCCCACAATACCCCCTGGCTCCTGAACCTTCATTCCTTACATAAATTTGGTGTCCCAGTGGTGTTTCGTGGCAGAAATGCGCTATTCGGGGGTTGGCTCTTGCGGCAGCTTCTCTTTTCTCATATAGTCTGTCGCGTGTAAATATGTGGAAGCATACCTGCAAAACGGGGGCAAATACCCGCAAAACCAGCGCAAATCCGAATCATGTAACAAATGGGTACCTTGCAAGAAGCCCGTGTTCATGAAACAAGCTTTTTGGGGGGAAACAAGCACTTTTTGGATCATTGGGCGAAAATGGTTGGCCCGAGCAATTTGTTCATGACAGATTTGTGTAACAATGGAAGGTCAAGGCTAGCAGCTGGATGCGGCAACCTCCTTTCGGTCGACTATGTAAGGGGAAGCGAAAGGAATGTAACCATTTCTGGACGGCATGGTTGTCCAATGTTGAGACGCACTGTTTGTCAGTTAACCAGGATCCACTGGGTTTTTTGCTGTGTAGGTTGTGCCAGGTGGCCCTTTTTTTTGGCAGTCCTTTTTCTGATTGTTTGTTTGTTCCTTTAGTGATTGTTTCCAGCTTGGTCAGTGGTAAGCATGTTCCTTTTGGTTCCGAGTCGTTGGGTCACCTGGAGTGGACTCCATGGAAGGCGAGAATTCCTGGGAGCAGCTGAATCAGCAGCAGGAGCCCAGGATCGGGCGATTGATCTCCGCTTCGAGCGCACGCAAGGAAACTAGAGGAAGTCCGGGCAAAATCGCCAGTCTTATGGTTAGTTTGCATGGCGATTCGGTCTTTGGCCTGACCGAATCGTCCCTTAGACCCTTTTGGAAATTTACAGTTGTTCCATTGAACCTATGAAAGGAGGCTCCAACCTCGGAATGATACACCCGTCTGATTTTTCTTGGGGGGTGCATTCCCTCCAAGAGTAGGGACACCCCCACTAAAAAAGAGACACCCCCCTATGAATCAACCAGGGGGTTGCAAATTTCCCATTCCCCAAGTCAAGCGCTGACTCTGGGTTGCAACAAATGGCAGCCTGGGCTGAGGTTCGACCTGGTGCCGCCCTTTGAACTGGCGCTTGGCAACGACGACGTCATCGTGGATGCCGCCACTATGGACTTTATGCAGGTCCCACCGGAGGCGCATCCGCGGAAAAGGTTGTGGTCCTCGAGCTTCGGACCAGACACCGAGATCAAAGAGTTATAGGGAAGCCAAAGAGTTGTCCAGGCACAGCGGAGGTTCCATGTGCCTAAGCTGACCCCGTCAAAAGGCAAAAAGGCACCCGGGATCCACTGGGAGAGGAAAACCCAAAACACGACAGGGGGGCAAACCCATGTTGGTGTGTCATGTTTGAGGGCACCGTTTTTTGAGGTTGAATGGAAACCAAGCCATACGAAGCAGAAGCGTCAGGGTACCTAGAAAGCGATTAACCGCCATAGTTGTTGCCCCTTCACCATGGCTGCAAGTTCCAAAAGTTATGGTAAAGCAGATGGCACAATTCCCCCATGTTGTTTAGTCATAGCGTCTACTTACAACGGAATTGCGCCATCTGGTAGGGCTTAGTTGGAAAACCATTATGCAGCCACTACTCACTCCCTGAGTTCATGGACTTTAGTCACTTTCTGGGTTTGGACCATTTTTAGTGGTAAACACAAAAAGTGTGGTTCCTTTTTTCAGCCCTCCCGAAGTGAGACTACAGGGTGTTTGTTTCGGTTCCTCGAGTTTGGGCTACCCCAGGTGTTTTGAGACTATACACAGGGTGTGTGTTTTGGCTTCTTTGGTTTTTAGGTTGCCTCCATGGCTTTTTGGACTTTTGGACTTTCTGGGCTTTGGACTTTAGGTTTGCCCCATGTCTTTTTTGTTTCTTTTGGTTTGTTTTTCTTTGTTTTCGATTTCTCGGTGTTTGGGACTTTGGGGTTGCCCAAGCGGTTCCGCTTGGCCGTCTTTCCACGCGGCGAGGATCACCTCGCCGCGGCCATCGCGGCGGCCGCGGCCGCCGAAGCCGCAGAGGCCCGGGAGATCGACATGCCTCGGGTTCGGTAGGCTTTTTTTTCTTCCTTTTTTCTTGTTGTTGTTTCTTGGTTTTTTGTTTTTTTTTTGGGGGGGGGGGGGGGGCGGGACGTTTTTTTTTTCCTGGCCAAGTCTTGGGTCAGATTCACATTTGCCCTGTTGGCCCAGTTCCCAAAAAGGAGACTCTACAAATAAAGCTTGGGAAACAAGATGCTTTGCAAAGGAGTTCTGTCAGAAGGGTGGCCTCCAAATTGTTCTGTGGTTTTCTGCAGCACCACATGAGGGGTCCCATGTCTTTGGAGGGAAGTTGTCACGACTTGAATTAGAGAGTCCAAAAACGGCTAAGTCCATGGAATCCGACTTGTTGTTTGGCGTGGGCCAGCTAAAGCAAATTCAAGCAATTTGTCAAAACTGGCTAGTACTCCCCTACAATTAACATGGACCCAGAGAGAGGAAAGAGGGTCCCCAAAAGGAGTTGCCTCTACAAAGGATGGCTTTATGGGTTCCATGTTTCGCAGGGGAGTGGTTCATTTGTTTGCCAAATGGAAGCCGAGGCTGACTGAAGTCGGCCAATGCAAGTGCATCGCCGGCACTGGCCGTGGCTGTGGGAAATTGAGTTGCCACTTTCTGTGGCCATTGCCCTCACAGTGGTCGGGCAGTGGTTGGGTACCTTGGTACAGAAAGAGTTGTTTCCCACAACCATGCCGGATACAGCATGTTCAAAGATCTTAGCTGCCTTAGCCTCGTTCCAAGGCAGAAAAAGTGCGCTTGTGTGTCTGTGTGTCTGTGTATTTGTGTGTGTGTGTGTGTCTGTGTGTGTGTGTCTGTGTGTGTGTGTGTGCCTGTTTGTCTGTGTGTGTGTGTTTGTGTTTGTGCGTGTTCTAGAAAATGGTGTGGATGCGCTTCTTGTGAATTTCACCTGCTCTTCCCCTTGTAGGTTATTTTTTAGTACTCTTTGAATATCCGAGAGGGGTGGATCAACCAAAAAACCGTGTCCAAACCGCTTCCTAGATGCGTGTGTGCTGAAGTTCATACCATTTGCGGCAAACGGCATTCAGGAATGAATGATGTGTGTGCGCAACTCCCAGCATTGTCCTGTAATTGCAGACATTGTGTCATACATACCCCATGCTGCACAAGGACACGTCTTTGTGGCAATCGTGCGTGTGTGTTTTGTTTTTAACATTGTGTGCTTGGGAATGTAACTGTGTGTAACCCATAAGATTGGATGTTTATTTGATTTGTCAATGTTGCTAGCCTGATATGTGTTTAGTCCGCACAAGACGCACTGGGAGTAACGCAAGCGACATTGAGGGAATGGCTAAATAGCACAATGTAAAATGGCCATGGATGGTGTGAGGCACGAATTATTGGTAACGGTTGTGTTTTTGCTCCAGATGGCAATCTACGGAATTAGCGATGTGCTTAGTGCGGTAGTTTATTGATTACTGAAGTGGTGTGCTCCGTTTAGTTGGGTCTTCAGTTGTCTAATTGGCTGGTCCACAATCGCTCTTGAACTGAGTCATTCAGCGTTGCAGGGAACCTTGGTACATGGGATATTGACATGTTAACTTGTTCCATAGACACATATGCACTTTGACACTGAGTATCATCATAGTGAACAAGTCAATGCTTCAAGTTGGATATATAGGATACTGTGATTGGTGACTCGAGCATGAATTAGTGTCGTGTTGCGCTAATTGTGTGGTTTTGCTTGTGCATTGGCCAATTGTGTTAGGATGTCAATTGCAAGCTGCTTAGTTAGTTGATTCGTTAGTGATATTTATCTTGGTTGAATAGTTGTTGATGTGTAATTCATGTTCAAGCTTGTAGGCCAACCGTTCCCTTATTTGCTTAAGTAGGTTGTTTGGCAATTATCATGTGGCAACTTAAGGATTCGCTACAATCGAATGGTACATAGTCATCATGTAGTTTGGTGGCGCTTTTGTCTAGACCAGTGATCGTCTTTGGTTGAGCCGTGATTGTACTCATTCGATAAATATTGTGCGCAGCCAATTCATTATTTGAACTGCTAGACCCTGAAATTATCATCTATTGTTAATGTAGCGTTGTTAGGTTTAGTGAGTTCACGAAGCAAGACTACGTTACTTGTCCTTTCTGTATTGCATGAACAGAGATACGTCGAGACATAGGGCGCAAGGATGGGTGCCAGGTAAATGCCAACACAGCCATGCAACCAGGAGCACAGCAGCGCACAATATGTCTATGCTCCTGGCAATGGATATTGGGGGAGCCAAGAAGCCAGGGATACTCAACTACCTGTCAATCGGGGAACTAAGGGCCCAATAACCACCAACATCAGTGAGATAGTTTAGGAAAGCTCACCAGCACGAGGTCGGGCTTTACGTTGACCATCAGCGGCTGTTTGATTAATATCACGATTTTACTTGACAACTAGACCCGATATTTGCATTGACAGCATCACGTGCAATGACATATATATATATATAGGTATATATATATATATACACACCATTATGTATGCGCATGCCTCATTCAACATGTATCCAAGCTACACGCAATGCTTTGCAATATACACATCATATTCATATTAACACGTATCCCCGTATTTTGTATATGCATGTATATAACATGCACCCCCGCCCCTCCCCATGGATCTGCATGTTCCGCTTCTTTTGAATGGACCTGGCGAGCGGGCAGAACGCTTCCATCAGAGGCGAGATACAGCGAGCTTGCAGATTGCATAATATGGTAGCCGACTTGGAATATGTGTTGCATATGATAGTTAAATATGGTAGTTGCTATATGTTGAAATTCAAGATACTTCGGTGAATTGAGGGCCAGGATGCAGCTCCACGGGGGAAATGGTTGAATTTGCAAATTAATTCATATTCCAGGTGTATATATATATATATACACAGCAAAGTAGATTCTAATGATTTGTCTATTCTCACATGCGCATTTGTTGGTATAAATACCAAGGCCAAATCAAACAGTTGATACTTTGTCCGAAAGCGCCTCCTATTGGATTTGCCAACTTGAAGCTTGTTTTGGCTCAAGAGTTTTGTGGCTTGACACCTGCCACAGAAGCACTTTTCTTGAGGTTTCTGGTCTAAGTTGCCCACATTTCTCAATTTGTCTAAAAGCAAATTGGAAAACGTGTGCCAGTTTCAATATTCCCCCAGGAGCCAATTCTTACTGGATGGATGTGTGTCTCATTTTTCCAGACCACCCTCTTTCAGCTGGTGTTTAGCGAGGCACCTGCGGCTAGTTCAACACTACTTGGATGTGTCTTCTGAGAGAACCCCTGATTTTGGCTTTCCTCTACGGGCCAGGGGGGGCAGTTTGCAAGGATGGCGCGGGGCGAACCCACTCGTTCACGTCGGGACACCAATTGCCATACACTTTGCCACAATCCATTGCTCACATCTGGGGTGGCAGCCCCTTGGGAGGCCCATCTTGAAACGATGTTACATTCTTGCGCAAGTCGGAACAATGACAAGTGAGAGTTTTCTTTGGGGTCATGTTGATTTTGTTGATATCTACAGGGAGCTCTTTTCCTTCCCCCCGATCCCGCGCGCGCCATGGGATGAGAAGCTGTGTGCTTGGCCTGGCCATTTCCGCTGGCTCTCTGATTTGTATCCCACTTCTCCATAGCGAATGGTTTTCTTTTGACCTTTCGGTGTTCCAATTTTAAGCCACTTTCTCTCGTGGCCCCAATAGGCGAACCTTTGGTTTCCAGGTCCTTTGGGCAAGTAAGGTATTTTTCTCGGAAATGCCTCAACTCGCCGCTTGGCGTTTCTGCACTTTCGACTGCATGGCGGCCACTACCTGCAGGGCAGCAAGGGAAATAAGACCAGCCACTTGGTTGATCTTTGACCGAAAATTTGCTTAAACCACAAGAGTCCAAACAAGTTCTCACCATCCAAACAACAAACAATACACCTTGCATCAGTTTGAATCCAGGCCAGGCAACGCCTGAGACCGAGCCGGAGTTGCGCCTCGCCTTGTTCATGACGACGCATTGGTCTGCCTTGCACCCCAGCTCAGAGCCTGCTTTTCAGTGCTTCCCTTTTCAACACTGGATTCATTCCCTTCCCCTCCCCCCCGCCCCCTGGTTTCCTTATTTGGGGGAAGCCAAGGGCAGGGGGTTGCGGGGGGGGGGGGGGGTGTTTAAAATCCATCCTTGGTATCGGTGTGCCTTGTTGTAGTCTCATCAATAGGCCGCCCTACATTTCCCCGCATTTCTAGCGGGGTGGATGCCCTAAATGTTGCCATCCCTGTATAGTTGATGGACTGTCGCATTGAGACGACTTTTGAACCCCTTCCCATCCCTTGTATTTGTTGGTATCCGCAGTCCGGGCCAACATTTAAGAGCATTTTACATCCTTGGCCTACTGACATAGTGATGGCAGAAATGCTCAAGTCGTTTTTGTTCTTCGATGTTTAAGTCTTATATAGGTTTGGGTGTTAGAACTGGACACCCATCCCGTCTCCAAGTGTCCAAGCAATGCTGCACTTCTGTTTGCACAGGTTCATTGTAAACGCTGTGCGCTAGAGGCTTTCTTTGCTCTCAGTTCTTACTCCACACCCCAGTTTGGGGAAGCTAGGCAGCTGGTAAGGTTCGTGGCTCCTGAACGCGCCTCAGTTCTGCGTGCGCACAAGTCGTTTGTCCTTGGACCAGGCATGGCTGTGTCACGTCCTGCACTACACTCGCCAGCGCGAAGCGTGTGTGAATTTGACGCGAAGTGTGTGCGCAAGGGCCCCAACCGCGCGACTTGAGAGCCAGAGATGAATCCAGAGAAAGTGGGGGAAGGGGTTGGGGATGGGTTCGGGCTACCCGAAAAAAACGCGAAACACACACACACACACACCCACGCGCAGACACGCGCACACACACACACACACACACACGCACACGCGCAGACACGCACAGACACACACAGACACGCACAGACACGCACAGACACGCACAGACACGCACAGACACGCACAGACACGCACAGACACGCACAGACACGCACAGACACGCACGCACGCACCCACGCGCGCACGCACGCACGCACGCATGCGCCCCCACGCACGTGTGCAAGCAGCAAACAGGACCCCAAAAAAGCACAGAAGGAGAACAACACACACACACAAACTCACACGCGACCTTCTCCTAGGCACCAGGGCTTCCTGCCGTGCTGGGGCTTTGCCAGCAAGCACCTCAACTTGTTGCGGCAGAGCGATCTGGTGATTTACACCTCCAAGCGCCCCAAAGAGGACGGGCCGAGCTTGGGCGCTGTGCACTGGTATGGGGTACTTGGCACCCCAAAAACGGGAATTGGACCTGGCTTCACAGAGAGAGAGAGAGAGAGAGAGAAAAAAACAATGTTATTTGCCCATTTGGCATTATGCAATCTATGTCTTTTCAGTCAGTAATTGTTTTTCGAGGTGGTAGTTATTATATACGTGTTTCGTGTTTTCTTGAGTTGTTGGTTGTCTGACTGGGTACGTAAACTTCTTAACTTTTCGTGCTCCCTTTGTGTGGAGGGTGGCTTTCTTGGGGGTTGGGTCGCCGCCTTCTGTGAGTGCCCAAGAGAGGCCCCATGCACAAGGTATGGATGAGAATCCCGCCTGGGCAGAAAAGCTGTTCGACCAGCATGGGGCGTTGTTCGCATTGTTGTGGTTCTGCACATGTTTGGGTATCTTCATATTCCGTAGGATGCAAAGGAGCAAGTTGCTGCCGGCATATCAGAGGTTGGAACCATCCATTTCCGCGCGCATCACAGGTTGAAGCTGGCCTACCCTACCTCGCTGCCATGGAAGCTCACCAGAAAGTCCAAGGTTTTTACCAACATGTTTCTCGTACTCACAAAGCCAGACCCGCCAATTTTCTGGCAGCTCAAAGGGGGGCAACGCATTCTTGGTTTCCGTGTCAATAGGGGATACTGGTTCAGTTGTGAATCTACTCCGGAAGTGAGGCCAAAGAACATCCAGAGTCAACATTGTGAGGGAGGGTAGATTTTTGGGGAATTCACCTAGCGAGTTCCTTGGAGGTAACCATACGGGATGGTTGCCGGGGTAATTTCCTCACTCCCTAACCAGCAAGGGAAGGCTGGCGCCAGTTTCAGGAGCAGCTGGCGCAACTGCACTTTCGGAACATCACCGTGAGGGAGCACAAAGCTGCTGGGTACCAGGCGGGCAAAGCCGGCAAAGCATTGGTGAAAAACCACCAGGCGTTCGTCCCCTTCGGGCATCCTCGAGTTTTCGTTCCCACGAGAAAACCTGAAAGAGGTTGTTAAAGCAATAGTGGCTTACCTGTTGGTTCTCTTTCAAAGGAGAACTAAAGGAGATTGTGCAAAGAGCTGTGGTTTCAACATGTCGTTTCAACATGTTGAAACAGGGTGTTGGTCCAACCCTGATATCATAACATCACTGCTTTTGGTATGCGCTCGTGTTATTGTGTTGGTTTGTGTTGGTACGCTTGTTTTGTTCAAGGGGGTCCAAAATCAGTTATTTCTAAGATACCAGCGTCTGGGGAGACCCGGCATGGGTCGGTTTCACATGTGCCGGAAATTCACAGGAGCAGTTGCCATGCACGATTTTTTGTAGGGGGGCCAAGGCAGTTGAGGTTTCCCGCACAGTTTAGGTGGATGTGTCTCAAACTGGTGTGGGCTTTCCTTCCAGGCAACCCCAAAAGGCTGTAATCTGAGCAAACGATGACATACGCATGCCAGTGTTTCCAGTTCCCACTATAGCAGTTAACGAGGCTGTCTTACGTTTAGGTTTTACTATGGATGGTTTGCCCGGCATATCATTCACAGAGTGATTCCATTTTTCGTGCCTGCACTGGTTTCCAACCATGGCTCTGGGTGTGCTTTTTGAGTTGCTACCCCGTTCTTGGTGGTGGGAAGCTACAAGCAAAACCGAAGCGGGGCAAAGGGTGCGTACGCCAGGCGGGCGCAATACAGGCCTTGGTGGATGGCTTTGGATCCAAAGGTTTTGAGGAGAAGCTCGGAAGGACTTGAGATGGGCGAACTGAAATCGTTGGTCTTGAAGGTGGACGAAATATATGAAGTTTGATGCTTTGGGGTGAACTGAACATGAACACCCTGTTTGCATGGTGTTGAGGGACACCAAAGGGAAGCCAAAAGGGAATTGGTCCTAATTTTGAGAGAGACAGCCATATTTTGTTTGTTGTTCAGGGGCGACATATCAGGTAAAAAACTCTATTTGATGGCTTGGTTTGACGGGATGTTCAGGCAAATGGGCAGCCGCCCCGAGACACCTGAATCCAAACTAATAGGAAGCTGAACATATGATGCTGAATCTGAAGACGTCCCCCATGGCCACGTGTTCGATTTGCTTCTTTGGTGCAGAGTTCATCAAATTCGACAACTCAATGGGATTTTGAGTGGAGCCTTGGTCCAAGTAGTCTCTCAAGCCGAACAAGTATTGAGATCCCAGGCAGCCCTTGGTCATGTCTTCCTGGAGTGGCATGAGTTTCCCTTTGGTGTCCATTGAATCAACCAAAAAAGGTGAAGATTGGGATGGAGGTGAGGAATACCGCTTATACAAGGGGTATTACAAGCTTATATTTGGATCGCACATGAGTATTTACCTTTGGGGAATTAGAATTGCATCTACCCATGTCTTGCCGCCATACGTGAGTGCCGTACACTTAAACTTCATTCAGTATGGCCAGGGTTACCTACAACTGTCCACTTAGTTCCCTGACCGGAGAAACCTGCAGCGAATTTGGTTTTGTTTTTGGTCCCCAAGGGTCTGCATTCTAATAAAGACTTTGCAATCCAGAGAACTGAGCAGCAGTCACTTCCCTTGGGAATGCAGAGACTTTCTCTGGTCGATTCTGAAAGCTAACATTCAGTAAAGCATTGCCCCAAAAGGTTGGTCCTAGGTTCCCCCTTTTCTTAGTAGTTCCATTTAACTCTGTTTGGGCCGACAAGGAAGTGGTTTGAGGAGTACGACTGGGTGATCCGCCTGAATCCGGATGTCTTGATCATGGACGCCGAGTCACGGCGAGAAGAGATCCAAACATAATCTGGAAGCAACGCGGAGACCGAACGCCATGTTTGTTTTTGAAGACTATGTGTGTGTGTGTGTGAACAGACAAAATGGTTTCGTTTGTTCATTGAATGCGCCACTTCATGCAAATCATGAAGTGGCATGAAGTGGCATCGAGTGGAATGAAGTGGCATGGAGTGGCATGAAGTGGAATGAAGTGAGATGGAGTGGTATGAAGTGGCATTGGTTGGAAGACAAGTGCATACATGGAGTTTGAACTTGTGAATAATGAGAATGGCTACGAACAGTGTGTTGATAATCCCACTTTCAATCAACTATTTGTCATCGTACGAACAGTGCGTCGATAATCCCACCGTCAAAAACTAGTTGTCGTCGTACGCAAAAACTAGGTGTTGAGCAAACTAAGGCAGTCTTGCAGTTGGACAAGCCTATGTTCCTAGGACTGACCATCCTTGTCACAAATGAACTACGTATGCAATAGTTATACTACGATGTTGCTCAGAAAAACAATCATGAACATATCAAGGTTATGTGTACTCGCACCGGCGATCATGTGATACAAGCATTCACAGATGACATAATAAACCAATATATTGACTTTAGCGAGAAGCCACCTGAGCACCCTTGCCACGATTAAACAGTTCAGAAGCAACTCAGGGTGTTTAAGGATAAATGCTTGTCAAAGATGTCACAGAGTTTATAGCACCAAAGCCAAAGTCATATGCCTTCATAATGCAAGGTGAAGAAGACTGATATAATAAGCGCAAAGGCGATGTTGAACGTATGATAAACGAGTTAACATATCAACATTAGCGGGAGGCACTGTACCAGAGCAAGACAAAATCACAGGAAAGACTGGAGAAAACAAGCATACAAATGCTAGAGTTGTTTTTTCCCCCATTCTGTCTTCTTTCTTTCTTTTTTTTTGGGGGTGGGGGGGGGGTGCTAATTCTAAGGTAGAACTGATTGAAAGCTTCCCGTGTGATGGCAAAGAGCAACGCTGAGGCGAGAAGTCATATATCATACTCAACACACAGAATAGCGGGTAGAGCACCTAACCAATACAAGCACAGGTACAACCCAATGCACCAGAAGATAGAGGACGGGCTGAAGAGACATGTGAAACAATACACAAAGCAGTAGACGAGTTCAAGCCCGAGGCACAGATAATGTGTGCGATCTACGCGGAGCATTGGTTGCAACAGCAAATTGAGCCGACACAAGAGAAACAAGAAATGCCGCCAAACAAAGTAAAGCGAAAAGTATTACCATGTAAGTTGCTCTTTAAATTTAAAGCCGGAAGTTATTAGAGTTGTCCGTTCCTTTGCGTGATCAGTGTCCCTGCGAATAGGACTCCGGAGGACGTCCTTATTGCATGGTGCTAGAAATGTCGTTCGCGAAGCGTCTGAAAGCCATTTGCGAACCATGCCCAAGTTGCTCAAAAGCCTTCGCAAGGTTTTGCGAACGGCATTGTACCAACAAAGGCATGCCAAAAGACACAAAACTGTTCTCGTTGAATTCTCGAAAAGTCCTCGTTTTTGAGATCCCTCTACCTCATTTTGGAGAAAGTTTGGGGATACACCAGGGGACAGCAACAGAATAATTGTTACTGCTTCATTCCTGTAACAATGTCATTGGTTAGGCAACAACTCGTGGGGATGGCCCTCTTTGGCATGACAAGAGTTATTTTCTAAAACCACAAGAGCCGCGGTAGTCGACCAGTTAGAGAGGAGCTTCAACCATACTATATGTGTTGAGATAGACTCAACTGGTGGTCGGTTTAGTTTCCTTTGAGAACCACCCCAAGGGTACCCTCGCCAAAAGACAGACCCATACTTTTTAAGATACAGAAACATTTTTTTCAAGAAACGACGGAGAAATTTTGAACAAAAAGAATCCGTAAAAACAAATCTTGAAACACCGGCCGACTTTCCAGCAATGTTTGAAGCAAACATTTTGCGGTCAAACAATCAGAAGAAGGCCTCACAGGCCCAAATTGCTCATCCTAAGCCATATCCCTTTCCGCGAACGGACCTCAGGAGTGGCTGCAGGCCACCATGCAGAACGACTCAGTGGACGCGATCTTCCAGGCAAGGTGTGTCTGATTTCGGAGGCAGGTTGGGTGTTGTCTGCCCAACAGCGATCAAAAGGGGGCGGGGTTGTAACCAAACCCACAACACATAGGTGTTACTCACGAGGTCTTGTTGTGGTTTTTGGTGTTTGTCGTTTTGCCCGTATGCAAACAACACAAAGGCACCAAGCCCCCTTTTCATCTCGTTTCAAGTGCTCCTTCCTTCTTGGGCCTGGAATCAACAACTTGCTTGGGATTAAAACCGTAAGGCAACATGGCTGCCGATGGCTGATCGGCCACTATTGGGATAGGAAAAAAGCAACTAAGGGGGGTGTCATGCTGATTGGCCACTAAGCCACGGCTGTTTGGCAACGAAGTACCCAGTGGATCCACGTTGCTGCTACTTTGGCAGGCGGTCTTTGCTTCGTGCTTATAGGTGTATGTATAATGAAAGACTTGAAAGAAACAAACATTTAGCATTCACACGTTGTGTCTGGTGACCGTAGCGTCCAACATGAAAAGCTACAACTTTACAACGCCCGGCATTTGACACAGCAGCAAGGTGCGCATAGGGAGTATACATGGGATGTATAATAGATAAATAACTAGATACATATATATGTATATATACATGCACGTCTCCCGGAAACAAGGATTTCGTGGCGAGACATAGGTTGGACATGTTTGTTGCTCTTCGTGTCGCCTGGCTCGTTGATCTAGTTTATTTCCCGACTTTTTTTGCAAGTGGCGTACTAACATGTGCACGGATTTTAATAGGAAATCCCTTGGGGACATCATTTGGGGTGGGATGTATGTCCCCAAAACAAGAACTTTCAAGGTGCTCCTTATTAGGACTCACTGCCATGTTTGTTCACAGTTGGGAATGAACGGGCAACCAGTTGCTTGGACTTCCCTTCCGGGACTGATCCATGACAATGTGTTTATAGAATGGGAGGAGCGTTGACGGAGCCCAAATGAAATTTCAATGGGTTGATGGCTTCGATAGTGTTCGCCTTAGGGTCGACTTAGGGGTCCAAGTTTGGCCCCCTGTGTTTCTCTTTTGCTTTGCGCATCTGGGCCCATTTCAAAGACAACTTTCCTCGCGTGACGTCTTTTTTTGGTTAAGTCTACGAAACCTGACCGACTTCAATGTTCCACCAGATTGGGTGTTTTTAAGACAACCACATCTAGAGGCCCACCGGATTTGTCCTGATCAAACTAGGCCTGCGACAAGATGCGCATCCACACCGATTTCTTTGCGGTGCGTGTGCGCGCGGTGAACCACACCCTGGTGGACGTCACCAGGATTGGGCTGCGAAGCTTAAGTTGAAACCGGCCTCTCCCCCCTTTACCCGCAAACCAAAAGGTGGTGGTTTATACTTGTTTAATCCCCTTCAATATCATACTTTGATGGTTTGAGCATGGTTCAACCAAAAGTGGTTTAAGCATGTTTACACAGGAGGTTGGCCAACCAGGAATGGGAACGCCGAGATGCACGCGACGCTCAGTTTCGGCAACATCAAGAAGTCGGGGCGCTTCGTCACTCGGCTCTTTGTGGGTGCTGGGGACACCGTGTTTTTCCAATTTCCCAAATGGCAAGCGGGTTCGCCCGGGACGGGTCGCTTCCGAGCAGACAGAGGAAGATCTGATTGGGGATGCAAAGGGTTTAATTGAACCGGGCTGGAATGAAGGATCGGAGGTTCCTTAGGCAATCTCGATGTCTTTTGGGAATTCTTGATTTCCCTTTGGCGGTTGCTTGGTGAGTTCAGACCTTCGCAAGATCCGACCCCTATCCCCAAAGAACAAGGGCGTGGTTGGGACATGGGCCTGTCTGGTGTTGAGGGTGCCCCGGTTTGTTGGTTTCAAAGAAAGTCAAAGGTCAAGCTCCTGCCATTTTGGGGGTTCCCGTATGTTGGGACAAACCCACATCAGCTTTGCCAAGTTCAAAGGATCCAGTTTCCGAAATCGGTGGATGTGTGTCCATGTGATTCCATTTGTATCGCAAGTAGCTTGGGAGCCGTAAAAGTGAAATAGAACGCTTGCAAAAGGCTGGTTACCTGCTATATCATAGGTCCCTGGCTGTCGGATGGCACTGGTTTCAATTTGGTTCTAAACATGTTTACCCCTTCAAAAAGCCCCTATGCCTGCTATGGTGGCTTGGGGCACCATTGGAGGAATATTGATGAACGTGCAATGAGGTGTGGGTGAGAGGAGGAGAACCTGCTGGCAGTAATTGCAAGCCACTTGGCTCAAACGTGTCTCTCTGCCGTGGGCCGGCCAGGGTGTATCTCTGTTTCCTCGCACGAAAGTCGATAGGAAGCCAAGGTCCCACTGCTGTTGTTTGTCCCCTTCGTACTTGATCCCCTTCACTTCTTGAAAGGGGTCAGTTTCACCAGCCCAGCATAGATGACCAAGGATCGGAAGTATGGAACATTGGATCCGCCGACACGCATTGTGAAGCACAACGACAGAGACACACACACAGTTCAACAATACAAAAACCGAGAGTGCCCACACCAAGAAAGCCAAAAAAGCCAAAACCAAAAAACTGTAGCTTTGGAAAAAAGCTCAACAATACGTTCCCTCAAAGCCAAAACCAAAAAACACGTTCGCCGCAGCATCGCCTCTCCGTAACGCGCGATAACCCGTGGACTTTTGGCCGAGGATCATGGGCAACCGCTCGGCGGCGGTGCACAACCACAGCCTGGTGAAGTTCTGCCCAGCCCCTGAGCCCAGATCGAGTCAACCAGTGGGTGTGAGCTTTACACCTTTCGTTGAGGACATGTCTCCTCTTCCTCCATTTGCTTAAGAATCTGTTCCTTATTTTCCCTTGTTGGTTTTAAAAGGAATTCATCACTACTGTGGGTCAAAACCAATGGGATCCCATTTTGAGGTGAAGTCACCACCCATTGTAGAACCTATTTTTGTGGTTGGATTGGGATGTTCACTGCGGGTACGATTTGGGTTTTCACCCATGGCCATATTATGGGCGTGAACTGTAATGGCATCTAAAAGGACCCGAAATGGCGGCGTCAGTTAAGTGGGGATTCACGTCCAATAACAGCTGAGGTGGTTCCCTGATTCATTTGGGGAGTTGTCAAAATTGTGGCACCTACCAGCAGCAGGGTACGTGTACAGGGGCCAGGTGTTTGACAACTACATCTTGGGTGCTAGTGGTTGGAGCTTTGAAGTTTTAGCTTTTGGGGTGTGTGCATTTTTCCACTGCGCCACAAAATGTTTGCGCTTTTGCGTTGCGCAGGGGGCAATAGCCACGAAGATATGGGAAATGTGGGTGGCTCAAAATGTTGGGCCCAGGCGTTGGTCATGTTTTATGTAGAACCGAGGGGTTTGGGAGTCCCTATTTTGAGCCACAGCCATATCGGCTGATGTCGGATCATGTCGGAATTTGTTGCTTTTGCGCAAGTGCGTAGAGATCCAGCTTGCAGCTAGTCAAGTCGAGGAACGGGGTGTTCCAGAAAGTGAGATGCGGTGTGTGGCTGCAGACAATGGGCATTGACAATGAATTATGTTCAGAACAAATGGATGTTCCAATTCAATCACGGGAAGCAGATCGTTGTTCCCCCCGTCGTGGTACCCATCAAGGAACCTTTTGCCCATAGTCTTTGGGAAAGGGTGTGACCACCGATTGGTTTTGTGGAAAAGTTGTCATGTTCGAAAAAGCATGGCGTAGCTGGCCTGAGATAATTATAATGTTCAGCAAAACAAATTCATCCAGTTGAGCATGTTGGCAGTGTGGCTGGCGTCTGAATAAATCGCTCTTTCGAAAAGAGTACTCCCCTGCAAAGTAGCATGGAACCCAGAACAGGGCCCTACCAATATGAATGTTTCGCGGCTCCACGTTAATCTGCAGAGTAAACATCGCAGTGACTCAGGTTTCAGATTGCAAGGCTTGGGTAGGGATCGAATGACCCTTTGGCTTGAGCCACAGGGATCAATTGGGTTTTGCCAATGGACAAAATACGGAACATCTTCATATATATATATATATATATTTGGTGGGGTCCAACACCCGAACAGCTTAGGACCCTCGCCACAATCAGAAGCTGGAAAGAGGATTCTTAGGGAACAGTGCCAACCATACACGGGCAGGGCACGGCTCCGCCCTTTTGATTTGCCATTTATGCGTACATCTCGTTCCTACCAAGAGTGACTTGGCGATCAAGTCTTGAAATGTTTGATGCATCAGTACTTGCTTACTTAATGCCGACCCTTCGACTGGGATTTCCAGATCGGCTTTTGAGCATCCCGCTCGTTCGTGCAAGTGAGAGCATGAATACGTTGCTTTAGCCATCGGGTTTCTTAAGTTTTGATACCAGGTGTTCATCATCTTGCTGGTTTTCAGTGATGGAATGACCCTCTGTCAACCCTTTGTGGTGTCCTAGGGGATCCCAGGAATTCCCAAAACGGGTTCCTCCCCATTTCAACCTCCAGATTTGCACGTGAGGACTACTTCCGAGAACGCTCTGAGCAGTACTGGGCCCCCTGGAAGAAGAAGCTACTCCGCTGAGAAAAGCGACGAGCCCCAGCGAGGCCTCTTGCATGCGTTCTTCTTGCGTCGACCTGGGAAGGCGAGCCATGACTTCTTATGGTTGAAACCCACCCTCGGCAAGCTGAAAAGCAGTCATCGCCCCCAAAGGTCTCTCATAGACTCGCGACCCCTCCCGACCCCCTCCCCCACCGAAAAAATAATGCTTGGCGTCCTTTTCGTTTCCAATTGATTTGTACATAAGCTCCGGACGACATTGTGAATGCTTTTCGTTTTTCAAAAGTACTTGGGACAGGCTATCAACCATGGTTATAACCCACTTAATGCTCTTCGCGTAGCCTGCCCATTCAAATTCGCAAGCATGGCTAAGCTGAAATTGGCTGGGCTCCGAGGGGGGCTCTTTGCCCATCGATTCGGAGTTGCGGGAGTGTCCCTTGGTCTCCAGGCGGCAAATGTCAAAGCAGAAGGGCCCCTTGATCAACGTCCCATTTGCCAGTTCCAGCACGTTCCCCAAAGTGTGGATGGTTTAAATACCCAGGTCAGGGTTCTGGAAGTCTTTCTTTGAGGCGGTGCCGCTTTGCGACAGCATTAAAGCCCGTAGGATTGTCGCCGGCAATTCTATGAACCTTTCGGGTACCTGCTAGCACCCTCCAGCGATTGCCTTTGCAGATGTTCAAGTACAGCCCAAACAAAAATGCGCGAAATCCGATCGATAGAACGGCTAGAGCGATTCCACGGTTTCGGAGGAACGAGCGAAAGCTATGTCCCTGCCGATCCCTAAATTCTGCAAGTACCCACTTTACGTTTTTTGTTTTTTTTTCCGGATAAACCTGGTTTTACATGATAAATGCCTCCTGCTCCAGTCAGGTTGAAATGACTGGCTGGTTTTAGTGACCCCCTGTAACACGGACACTTAGAGGCTATTTTGCAGCCCCAAACCCTAAGAAAGGTTGCCGAATCACGTCTAGCAATCCAACGTCGCACTGCTGTCCAGAGCTTCGACCAAGTTTGGCCTTTGGCCTTTAGGAGCGGCCCAGTCCGCCTGCAGAAACTGTGGGCGGGGCATCCCGTAGCTGACTTGGGGAATATCTTCGAGTCAAAAGATCTGGTCGTTGCGCGTGCATGAACTGCTCGGAAAGGCAAACGGTTTTGCTTTTGGAATGAAAACCCATGCCTGTACCCCAGTCTCTCGCAAGCTGTTCTGGCCCAAGGCGCCAACGACGAATCAACTCAGGGCTGACACAGAAGAAACCCGATCTTGCAGCTTAATTTCACACTTATTGGCATAAGCATATGGAGCGTTGTTTGGCTGGGCTCATTGGCAAAGGCAGCAAACTGCAAACAATTGGTGGTGGCCAACAATACTGCTGTTCCTGAGTTCCAAGGGTTTCCGGCATGAAGCGGAATTTAGCCATAAGCACAGGTTGGCAAGCTGTCTACAAAGGAAACTACGAGGGTCGGCTGGGCTTCATTGCTTACTTCAGTCCCCAGAGACTGCCCCATCAGCCCCACTATCCCAGATCGCCAGTGTTCCTTTTAGCCCGGCGGTTTTCGTGGTCTGGGAGATGAGCATCTTTCACGGGTACAAACTCGATATATATATATATATATATATATATATATCAGCGCACATATTATATATCGATATATATATATATATATTTATATATAAATATATATATATATATATTTACTTACTATCCGTTGCAGGGTTACGTGACGAGCGAGGCTCCCTTTAGGGCAATGTAGGTCGATATGTCAATGTCCGCGAGAAACACGTCAAGCGCTCTCCCGTATCGCGAGCTTGCGGAGTCGGCTCCCAATCTGTTCAGCCAGGGGGGGAGGGGGGGGGAGAAGCGATCTTCAAGGATCTTCCAAAAAGTCCCCTAGATATGGACCGGAACAATCAATATGTCCTTGGTG